AAGGAGAGCATGTATAGTATAAACGTAAGTCGTATAAAGTTATAAACAAGAGCAGAGACTCGATCTAAAACAAATTCCACCCACCCCGGCCTCTCTTCTCATGCTGCGGTGCAACCAACGGCCTCTCCTGTCCTCGATGCATTCCCCGTCCATCTAACTTCCGAATACTCTCAATCTTTTGCAATGCCAATTCCAACAACTCCTTCTTCCTAATAATATCTAGATGTCTCCGGATGCGCGGGTCCTCTCGTGCGAACCGCTCGACTTCGTCGTCGGACAGGTGGCGGCCGAGGCGCGTGTCGAGTTCGCGGGGAAAGTTGTAGTAGAATTCGGAGAGGAGTTCGACATTCAGGAAGAGGACGGCGGTGGAGGTGAGTTTGTCGGACACGACATCGAGGAAGATCTCGGGGCAAAAGTATTTGTTCTTCTTGGTGGCGCATTGCTTGGAGCGGACGGCGAGGAGGCGCATTTTGAGGAGGTCGGCGCGGTCACGGAGGAAGACGCTATCGCGGCCTGCAAGGGTTAGTTTATGATTTTCAAGAAGCAGAAATTTCTGGGAACTTACCTGTCTCCAGCAAAGCAGAGCTAAATCCACCAGCTCCGCCAGTGCCGTCACCCTCTAGAACAATATCACCTTTTCTGACCTTGTCAACAAAAGTCATAACGTCCCTGATCTTTCTCTTCCCGATAATCTCTTCAACACGCTTCATAGCTCCCTCACATGCTTTGAGTTCCTCCTTCAGCACTTTGCTCACATTTTCCCTGCCTTTGGTCCATTCAGGCTCTTCGACCTCGATTTCAAACTTGTAAGGCTTGATGCAGTTTTCGACCTGGTCGCTGGTGCTGAAGAATCGGTCGTTTAGAATGCTTTCGCAGGCATCCGTAATTTGTTTCTGAGCATAAGGATGCGAAGCAAAAGTGGATTGCGACAAAAGATGGTCAACGTGTGTCTGGAGAGCGTTCGCAACGACAGTAGTGGCAAGTCGGCCAATTCCGAGCTTCGTCAAAGACGAAGTCGAGGCATCGAGTTTCCGCCTCCAATACAGCGACTCTGGGTCCGCTTTGGGGAGGTCGCTCAAGGGATCCGGCTCAAACAACATGGGGTTCAAGTCCTCGATGGGCTTGTTCCAATACCTCTGGGCCAGAATGTCCATGATTCTTTGGTCCAGCTCGTTCTTGAGCATCTCCCGGACCTGAGGACGGCCGAACCCTTCAGCAAACGCCTTGAACGAGTGCTTGAAACTATCAAGGGTTTCAGCCAGATATGACTCTGCGCTGAGAGGACGGTCGTTGTATTGGACCTTGAACTCGTAGGTCGCTTCTTCGAGTTCTTGGCTGATGGCATCTCTAGTTCCTGCCAGGTTGTATGCCATGGTTTGCTCAAGAACGTGCATAAGCTTGGTCCGTAAAGTCGAAACTCCAATCGTAACGCCGGAATCGGGACCGAACTCCGGGTGGGCAGAGAAGTAGGCATTCTCATTCTTCAAGATGGCACTGGTGATGTTGCCGGTGCCTCTGGAGAACAAGGTAGTTGTCTGAGGAATCCGGCTGACAACACCGACATAACCGAGACGCAGGGGATACTTCTTATCCGTAAGCATGCTCAAACCACGTTCAGGGTCAACGAGATCCATCTTTGTGATCACACCAATTGTCCTTTCACCCCTCGGGTCGACACGGCGACTTGCTCTCAAAGCAGTCGAGTTAGCCAGATCGACATCTGCCGCAGAAATCGCCAGGACAATGTTAGGCGCCTGGATGTACTTGTCACAGAGGTCGGAGATCTTCTGTTTGAGCTCCGGCGGTTGATCATGGCCGGCAACTTGAATATATCCTGGGAGGTCGATGAGGGAAAGGTCGGGGACATTGGGGGAATGGATGGTCAATTGGATCGGGTCGTCTGTAACGCAGTCACTTTCAGGGACAGCCAAGTTCAGATCCGTCAAAGTCCGCTGAATCTGGGTGAAATCGGTAACCTTCCCCAGCCCAAGAGCCGGAAACTCTCCATATTCGGAATTACCATTTGGCGTGTTCACTAGTGTAAGCTCGATCGGACGTCGGGTAACCATGTTCGAGCCCTTTGGCAGGAATTCGTGCCCAACAATAGCTTCAAGGACCGAACTTTTACCGGAAGATTGCGACCCAATAACAACGATAGACGGAAGCGTGAGCGTATTAGACTGCCCAACAGTTGACAGAATATTCCTAATCTCGATCATTTTCCGTGTAAGAAGCATCATCTGATCGTCCTCCGCGATGTCTCGACCGGACCGCACATCGTCCTCGCCCGACTGGTCATAGCCAAACGCCGCAGTGGTGGCTGCCGCAGCAGCACCAACCCGGCCCTCCTTAGGAGACTTTCCTCCACCGGACGAGCCACCAGAGTCACTGCCCTTTGAGTCTTCCTCGTCGAAACGGAGTATCCTTTGCAGCCATTCGGGTAATTCAGCGTCTTCTGTCGTTCTCTGCCAGCCGCGTTGTGTTTGTTCAGCCATATGTTGAATCTCCGAGAAAATTCCCGAAGCGGTGTCACTTGCTGTCTCTCCGGCTCGTCTGAAGACATCTATAGCGTAGTTTCCGGCCTCTGTCAATCAAAGCGGGGCAGGTATCAGTAACATGCAATCTCCAATATTTCGAGAACTCGGCATCTGAAGAAAAACATACGAGTAGCCTGATACTGAAAATAAGCAAAGCTCGCAACCATAGCTCCTCCAAACATGGCCGGTAACCTGACTAGCTTCACCGCCAGCTTGGGAAGCATTCTGGAAAACGAAATCGCCCGCACAGCAGGGACATTGTTGTGGATAGAGTTAGTCCCAACAGTCCATGCTCGGCCTCGCAGCGCGGCACTGCCATCTGATCGTAGGAGACCCCCCGTCCTTGCACCGGCGTTGTAGGCATGACGAGCCAGGGAACCTGTCCGCAAGAGCGGAGCAAGACGGTGGGAGAGAATCCTCCCGCTCATGATTGATGAAAGCTCATACAGATCCGGGAGAAGTCGGTAGGAAAGCGGTCATCTCCGGGCTGATAAGCCTCGAAGAATAAACCAGGAAGGGTGTATAGGGTTTGATAAGATGGAATAAGGTAGATCAGGTCGTGGGGTTGACAACGAAGTTACAATGACGGAGGATTTGTCGAATCTCCGCGCGGGAGACCCCGTGACCTGCGCAGGTGGCCGCGTCGCATGCCGGAAAATGTCGGTGAGTCACGTGTCGTCATAGAGCCATATTGACAATCACTGACGATTGATTGGGGATATTTATTGGTGATTGATTGGGTTTTGTTTGTATTACTTATTTGCTTGTGCTCCCGGTGATATTATCTGTCTAACGTTGAGCGAGTGTGCGTGGTACTCTTTTATCGGCGTTGGGCTGGATCTGATCTCATCGGAACAAGATCAGAACCATACTTTATCTTTTGAGCAAGCAAATGACCTATACGACTAGGAAACTATGTGCAGATTCCTAGTAAGTACCCTTATTCTACCCATTTGTCAATGGCATACATCGCATTAACCGCATACTAGATATACAAAGGCCGAAACGACATCCGCCTCAGCAAGCTGATCACGGAACCGAGTCATTCAATCCTCACACAGTCCTACGACTCTCGACTGAGATTGGTAAGACCAGACACAATAATATGATAAGTCAAGATGACCAAAAACTTATACTCTTCTGTTCTAGGACAACCGCCGTCCAGTTAACGGCGATGGCTTCGGAGTCGGCTTCTATACAAACCCCGAATTAGGCCGCGACCCCTGCATCTTCACCTCAACCCTCCCAGCATGGAACTGTGAGAACCTCGAACGACTCGCATCGAAGACCTGCTCGAGCCTGATATTCGCACATGTCCGCGCAACCACCGAAGGCACCCTCTCTGATAATAACTGCCACCCGTTCCAGCACGAGACCCTGATGTGGATGCACAACGGCAGCATTGGCGGGTGGAAGTACGTTAAGCGAACACTGGCCGACTCCCTAGCGGATAAGTGGTATCTAGGTGTTAATGGTGGGACAGATAGTGAATGGGCCTTTGCGCTGTTCCTTGATCTGTTAGAGAAGGAGGGTGTAGATCCTAGTTCGGATCCAGGGCCGGAGGGATTTGGGCAGGCGCTTCTGCGGAAAGTGATGGTGAAGACGATTGCGAAGATTAATGAGTTTATTGCGGAGATTCCCAAGAAGCATAATGTTTCTGGGGTTGAGACGCGGAGTTTGCTCAACTTCGCGGTGACGGATGGTCATACCGTTGTTTGCACACGGTATATCAGCAGCAAGACGGATGAGCCTGCGAGCTTGTACTTCTCCTCCGGTACTAAGTGGAAGGAGGGCAAGGATAAGGGACACTTTAAGATGGAGCGCCATGATAAAGGCGCGGATATCGTTCTTGTGGCCAGTGAGCCTATTACATTCGAGAGACGTGAGTCACCTCCTTCTAGAATCCTCAACCTTCTATAACCGCTAGAGTACTGACATTCTCATGATAGACAACTGGGTCTCCGTCCCCACGAACTCCGTCGTCACAATCCACAAACAAACCGTCCTCCTCCACCCCATCCTGGACGAATACTACGGCGAAGACATAACCCAAGACCGCTCATCCTGCTACGCCGTATCCAAGGGCCTGGTCAGCACCGCACCAGGAACAACCGTACAACCAGGCGCAGATGAACCTCGCAGCGTGGAGCCTACGAGTGACGGTCCAAGGCTCGATGATGTTAACCGGGGGTTGTCGTATTTGCAGCTTGCAGGTCAGACTGGGCCTGCGAACCAGTGTGCGGTGTCGCATTGATTGTAGTAGTTTGTGTTGTTTCTGCTTGGGCTGGGTTGGGTGGTTGAGTTGGTTTGTATAGGAGTTTGGTATACTTCGGGGTTTACTGTCGGGAATATGATTTAGTGCTTGATGTCCTGTTTCTTATGCAAGATATACATAGCCCTTATGTATACGTCTTGTCTAATATGATTCTACAATGCCTCACACATTTCAAAAGAGAAGCAGAATTAAATATCCTCTCCCGATATATTCGCATGCTTGAAATACTTCATCCCGACCCAAGCAACAACAACCCACACCCACGACATAACAGCAGTCAATATAATCAACGCCGGATAATACCCAACAATCGGCAGCGTCGGGTCGTCCTCGAGCTCCGGCGGTGCATATGGTGTCTCTCCAACATCCCAGGCCCAGCTCCAGACCCCGAAACAGCTTCCCATCCCCACGACGAAGACGAGCCAAGTTACAATTAGGATGATCCATCCCCACCATTCGGTTTCGGAATAGTCCCATATTATGTCTTGATGGTCGGCGGGGTGGTGGTGAGTTGCAAGGGGGGACTTGGTGCGGTGGACAGCTCCGTATGTCGAGTTTGGTTGGAGAGCATAGTATGAGTCTGAGCTTGAAGAGGGCGATGTGAGGGGGTTGTGCTGTAAGCCTGCCGCAATAATCTTCGGGTTGTCATTCTCTTTGTTCTCAACGTTATCGCGGCGCATGAAGGAGACCATGTCCTCATCGTCAGTAACAGTCTCGTCACCGAGTACCTTGTTCCGGGCGAGATTTGGCTCATGGCGCGAAAACGAGCCTCGAGAAACCCTCCTCTGCTGCGCACTTACATATCCCCATCGCGGGTTATTCTCACGACCTCCCCGATCAAAAGATCCCTGCGACTGCGACATGGGCTCCGTTCCACCCGTAGCAGAGACGGAATTGGTAAACGGTCGCGGCGATATACTCTTCGCAGCATCCTCGCTCCGCCAAATGTCCATCATATTATTGTTACCACCGGCACCCTTAATCGTCTTCTTGGACTCAAAGCGCGTGCCCAACAGTGCCGTCTTGCGCAACGATCCTCTCCTCCTCCGTGTCCTCCGCTGTTGCTGTAACGCACTCGCCATCGCTTTCCCGCCGCGCAAGTTACTTGTTCCATCGGAAGAGACATCATCACCGCCATCGCCGTCATCATACCCCCGTCCATTAATAGCTGCAGACTGGTTATTGGTATGCTCTGGTGATGTCGTTGCTTGGTTCGTGGTCCGTAAGAACGACAGTTTCGATAAGAGCGAGCCGGACATGCTGCGTCGGTGGTTGCTGTTGCTCGTGCTAGTGCTCATAGATCGTGTCCGTCCTGTGCGTTCTCCATTGTTTGTGTTGGCACCGCCATTGTCGTTGTTACCGTTTATCGACAATGCTGCCGTGCTGGGGTCGTAGTCTCCATCTTCCATTGGCGCAAGCTCGCGCAGATTGATATCCGGGGGTTGTATCACGGGCGCATTCAATCATTTGGTATGAAGGGAAACTGCTGAGTGAGTGAGGTAGTGTACTTCACCCGTTCGGGGGTTGTTGTTCTTTGGTGGTTGGTTCCATGAAGCGGCATGGTTGAGGTAAGGAGAGAGAGGCGGATGAGGATAGCTAGACGGGCCATAGCGCATTAACTAAATTCCGATTCCGGAGTATATCAGAATATCTGACTTCGCGCGAAGAACTACAATATGTATTCTATAGAATTGAAGCATAAGAATGCTTTGGGCTCACATAAATCCTCATTTCATGGCTACATATGCTATACTATCTGAATAGTGATCTCTCAGCTAAAAGTAACACAAAATCAGTAACATGATCATAAGCATTGAAAGCAGTACTTTCCCAAGAAGACAAGAGCAAGTAAACAGACCAGAGGGTATCATTGCACCAGATTGTAAAGACACGGCCTAAGACGAAATCAATGAAAACAATGAAGAGAGTACGATATCAACAAAACAGATGACTTCGTATGCAGCATAAAAAGAGACCCAATCTGCTCAGAAAGCCGCACGCATACCGATAAGATACGATCATGTCCGGGTCAGATAATTTATCAAATATTAGCTCACACCAGTAAAGCCGGAAGTAGAAAGAAAATAAGAAAAAAGATAAGAAAATACAAAGAAAGTAGAATAGATAAGAAACAAAAAAAGGCACTTTTTAATTCATTCAGTTGACAGCATACTTGAATCATGCACCCAAAGAAGCTGTTGATCAAAGATGTGGACAACTGATGGAAGGAAAGAACAGGAAAGATAACATAAGAATCAAGTCAAATCAACAGAGTGGACTTGGGGTATTTTAGTGCATGATAACACACAAATTTCATTTCAAAAGGAAGCACGTGAGAATTGAAAAGAAAACATGCGCTTGAAAATCCACATAGTATGACAATTTAGAAACCAATCATGATAAAGCAGCTGGGAAGGTTTAAAAACGAATAAGAGAGATGTAAAAAGCAATCAATGTAAAACATATAAGACAGGGGAAGACAAGGGCGGATAGTTTGCGAAACGGCCTTTCTTTTTGTCGCATTTGTTGCCGGTGCGAGAGCTCGAGGTCAGGAATGACGGACATTCAGCAGCGACTGATCCGGAGGTGGGTTACGCTTGGTAGCCCCCGAAGCCGTTTCCATAGTTGCCGTTGTTGGCCTGTCCACGGCCAAAGCCAGCACCGTTTCCTGGACCGTAGTTTTGCGTGGGTACGGCAGATTGATCCCAGCCTCGACCAGCAGGAACAGGGCCTGTAAAAAATAATTAAAAAAAATGAACTATTAGCAAGAAGACAGGATAATAGTCAGTCAAAACATGGGAGACGTACCCTGAGGGGCCATAGGCCCGCCGGGACCATTATACTGCGGGAAGTAGGTTGTACCGGAGGCAAAAGCCGCATTGTCGAATTGACCAGTGGGTGGGCGATCCTTACCCCACTACGATAGTTAGCAACTCGCAATAGACGATAAAACACCAGAACAGGGGGGAGGGGGATTAAGCATACGCTGCACTTCAGAGGACGACCGTTGACGTTGTAGCCGCTGAGCTGGCAAATTGCCATGGCAGCATTCTCGTGAGTGTCCATTTTGATGAAAGCAAACCCACGGTCGGCCTGCAAGCGGGTTTCCAAGACGTAACCGAAGTTCTGGAACAGGGGAACCAGGTCATTCTGCGAGGTGTACGGCGTAAGGTTGCCCACATAGCATGTGGTCTGCCACTGAGGGGTCTGCTGGGCAACCATGTCGTAGCTCTGGATACCATGAGTGGGGAAATGATGGTGACCGAAAGGCGCGGTCGGGGCCATGCCCATGGCTGCCATCGCCTGCTGCTGGGAGATAGAAGGCTGGCCCTTCTGGTTGGCCCAGTTACAGCGAATGGCACGGGAACCGAGCCATTCTCCATCCATGGCGGTCAGAGCCTTGTCCGCATCTGAGCGCTCACGGAAAGCGACAAAACCATAGCCACGTGAGCGTCCTGTTTTCATATCCCACATCACACGGGCTTCAGAAACCGAGCCGAAAGCCGAGAACGCCTGGAGCAAGATCTCATCGTTGACTTCATTGCTTAGATCACCGACGAAGATGTGAAAGTGAGACGAGGTGTCTTCTTTGTTTGAGCTGTTGGACTGGTACGCCCAGTTGACACGGATCTCCTGCAAGAATGATCAGAAAAAGACAAATGAAAAATTTTATAGAACTTGTATCAGCATACCGACTGATGAATACGGCGTCCGTTGAGGGTCTGCATGGCCCTCTCAGCAGCGCCGGGGTCATCGAATTCGACAAAACCGTAGTTGTATCCTTTGCTGTTGAATTTCTGTGGGGATGGGGCACGTTCAGTAACCAGCTACTCCATGGGAGATTGGTATAGATGAGAAAAGAATATTAAAATTAAAAATTAAAAGGGGGATCGGAGAACTCACGTTCTTGTCGGGAATGATCTTGACATTGATAACATGGCCGGTAGTCTCGAATATTTGCTTCAAGATGTCCTCTGTGACCCTGTGGTCGAGACCTCCGACATAAAGTGCTCTTTTGTTTGGCTCAGGAGCGGCCCGACGCACAAATCCACCAGCACTGGTGGGGGACATCATGCCCCCAGACATCGGAGACGTAATCGCCGTCGGAATCGGGTTGGTGTTCTGGGGGATCATAACTGGCGGACGAGGAGGGGGGGGCATGTGCGTACCCTGGCCATTTTCCTGGGACGCATCATACTGCTGCTGACCAGAGGCTCCGGTTGAGGCTTGCGGAGGTTGTGGCAGAGTGGAGGTGGAAGCGGGCACGTTCTCGGCCATTGTGACACGATGTCAATAAAACAATATACAATGCAAGACAATTTGGTCGACAAAGCAAAGCAAAGAGTCGAAAGACGTTGAAACGGCGCTTGACCAAGGAGGAACAAGCGTCGAGCGAAAGGGACAAGGAGGAGAAGGAGAGAGGTTGGCGATTTCGAACGAGCCAATGCAGAGCGTTAAGGAGCAGTCAAAAAAAAAATAGTGAACTCGAAGGCGGAGAGCGCGGCGCGGGGATCAGTATCAAAGCACCAAAAGGAGGTTTCTTAAGAGAGAAAAATAAAGGTAAAAATCACAGATGGAGTGGGGGAAAATAAAAAGAGAAAGAAAAACAGAAGAAGAAATGGAAGAAACTGAAGTGATCACTAGATCAGAGAATGGAACCCCAATAGTTGTACTAAGAGTCGTGACGGATCAGAAACCCTTAGTTAGCCCAAGACAACTTCTCAAACACGCGGATTTTCAGAACCTACTGCCCCAACAGGAGACTTGTTATTAGAATACTGATAGGAGAGGGACCAAGTAAGAAAAAAGAAACGTACGGAGTAGCGCAACAGAGACAAAGGAAGTGCTAAAAGAAGCAAATATGGGAAGAAAAAGAACCGAGTCACAAAACCCGACGCCAGAGCTGACTGGATGAGGAGAGAGAAAAGAGAAAAACGACAAACGGAAGACGAAGAAACAAGAAGAAAAATAAGAAGTACAACAACGATCAAGAACAAAAGAGAAAAGAACCAAGTGATGAATGATCTATTCAACTGGACAGAACAAGAAGAGCTGGGAACCTGACAGGAGAGCTGCTTTGTTTGCTTTGTTTGTTTGGGCTCTTGAGCCGCCGGGTGGAGAGGGCACTAAACTAGGAAGGGTTTAGTATCCAGGACAAGCTGCACGGGACCTGGACTCAGATCGAAAGCCGACGGAAACATGCTTTTCCATTCACTCTTGAATCAACACGTTAACAAGGCTGCTTGTCTGGACTTAGATTATTTGTTATTCCCCGCCACTAATCAGAGTTTGTATAATTTTGTCCTCGTATAGCGCTTTATCATTCAATTCGATTGACGGCCACTTGGACTTGAGCGTGCATTTGTCCTACTATTTGCTCCGGCTTGCAACATCAACGGATCGAATAAACGCCCGGACTATTTGAAAACGGTGACAAGGGTCTACAGCTTATTGATCCTGTGATTGTAATCGCCATGACTACGAATTACTCGGATCCAGAATCCCTGGCTACTCTGGCGGCTACAGTCAATCAAGCAGTACGTCCAAGAATCCGCAATTGTAAAGATATTCACATTCTAACAACTGGTAGCTCATAGAGACTGGACGGTTCTTTCGTTCATCTGGTTCGATTCAATCCAGGGCTCAGCTGAAACGGTCTATTCCGGCAGCCCACGAACAGTTTCAATTTGCATTGGATGATCTCTCGGAACAAATTGTATGTATTTCTGATGTTGATCGACAATATCGGGGGGGGGGCATCGGTTGATAATTTACAGTTCCTTGCCAAGGCATTTCTAGAGCGTGACTATGAGGCAATCCGAGCGACAAAGACAGAAAGCCAGACAGCTCAAGATGTGGCAATGGGTGAAACAATGGTGAAGCCGGAACCGGAAACTGGAGAGCAAGCACAAGAAAAAGTAGAGGAGGTCGATATCAAGACTGAACAAACTACAGAAGATGTGACTACGAACCCACCGGTACCAGCAGCAACAGAACTGAGTCAACCTAACGAATCTGATCAGCCTGTGAAGATAGAAAAGCCATGCGACACTCCTGCGGTTCCAGATCAATCAACCACGGAAACCAAGTTTGACACCGGACAGAACGAGACAGCGGGCGGCGGAAAGAATGACTTTGATCTTCATTTAGACTTTGGCGATGATGAGATCGGGAACCAGAACTTCCTCAGTATGAACACAGGTGGTGGCGCGAACGAAACTGATGAGTTTGGAAATAGTATCACAGCTGGAGGTGACGCATTTGACTTGGAATTTGAGAAAGCCGGTACTAGAGGAGAGCAGCAGCAGAAACAGCAACAACAACAACAACAACAACAACAGCCACAGCCACAAACAGGGGCGGATTCTCAGACCGGGGAACAATCGGAGGATATAATAGCACCTGGGGAGTCCAGCTTTGACGACCTTTTCATGGGCAGTGGGGATATGGGCGATCAGGGATTGCTAGAGGGGGATGAACTGATGAACATTGAGGAGTTGGATGACAACTGGTTTACTTGATTGGTGTACCTGGCCAACGTTCAATCTGAGACATTCTAAATGTCAACCCACTGTACGTACAAGTACATCGGAGTATAGAGCCAAGAAAGGAAGAGGGCAAATGAGTAAAATAAAATAAAGGCGCCCTACTAATCCGAGGGGCTCGAGTCATCGCCCAGGCCCAGAACAACGGCAATGAGGTCATTGAGCTGTCAGTCTGATAAGTAGGAGAGTCATAATGCGGAGGAATATCCACGCTTACATATGCTACTAGTACAGTATGGGGTATTAATCTCTTCCTTCCGAGGAGAAGAACCGGTGAGCTTTGCTTAGATAGACTACTACAGATTATTCTCTCAAATACGTACCCCTACTATTACCGCGTTGAGAGAATTGAGCCGAGGATCCCCCGCATACTATAAGAGGAAATTGAAAAGAGAGACAAATGCTGCAAACAGTTCTCAATCTGCATTGCCGGGATATCCGCATTGGGGCAACGACGTCATGCGATCTTCTTCGGAGATTTCGTACAGACCTTTAGAGATTGTATTTTACTGGTGAATAGATGGATAGACCGGATAGAAGATCAAGATGTACAATGATTGTATGCGCTGAGCTGTTCTGTCGCAGAAAACAAATCATCCGCTGACCCAGAACCGGAAATGAATCCCAGGGAAAATTAAAAAAAAAAAAGCACCTGAGGGTTTCCTCTCCAGATGCTGGATGGCTCGGATCGCCGGAGATTGAAAGAACCAAAAGGATTAGTGTACCGCGTCATCATAAAGTGGTTCTGGATGGCTTACTTTTGTGTGGTGGGGGATTAGTATTGTATCTCTCATCTCATCATTAAGTGGCCATTCGCCATTTTCCTTCTCCCGGACAAGAAAAGAAAACATGTTCAATTGTCTTCCTTTTCCTCCGCGGCACTGACTAGTATTCTTGGTATCATTCTCTCTTCTCTTCCTTTACAGGTACTTCTCTCTTTCTCTCTCTCCCTCTGCCTCCTTCAATCTCACTGTCTCGTGTTTCATCGGCTCAGTCGGTGAACCGCTTTTCACTGGAACACCGGACCTTGCGTGGTTTAAAACCAGTCGATCAGCAGCAAAAAAAAAATATTTTTAAAAAAAGAAAAAGAAAAAGAAAAAAAAAGGCTCTTGATGGATGCCGGCGAATAAATCTAAATATTGACTGAACTCGTACATAACCCGGGCACAGACTGAACAGTGTGCTGTTTCCGGCAGGTCGCAGGTCGTGATCTGCTTTCTATTCTTCACTACTGGGACTGTCCATAAAGACTGTCTGGGGTACGTTGTCTTGCTTACCCTTTCTCTCTCTCTCTCTCTCTCTCTCTCTCTCTCTTCCCTGCTTTTTATTTGTTTTTATTTTTTGCTTTTTTTCTCTCTCTCGCTCTCTCTCTCTTCTCTTTTTCCCTTTTCCTTTTCCTTCCTTCTTTTTCCCTTTTTCATCCGTCAACTTCCTCACTCTCTTGCTTGCATCACCACTGCCCGCGCTTTCTCCACTGTCGCATCAACTCGAGTCAGATCAGTCCTCTGTACCAGAAAAGGAACAAAGGAGAGAGAGAAAAAAAAAAAAAAAAAAAAAAAAAAAAAAAAGAGAGAGCATTGATCTTCTCGCCCAATTTACCTCATCTTTATAAGCTGCTAACGAGAGAAAATTATGCCCTGTCGTCTGTTCATATCATCATGATGGCCGCTCACATCTCCTCTCATCTGCAGCAGCACGAATTGGCTCAGTCTATCTCCGCCAATACTAATCAGCTGGCCGCCTGCGATTCCACTGAGCCTTTCCCCCCATTATTCTCCGGGCTCTTCCGTCCTCGTTCTAATCGTCGTTCGTCTGTCTCGACTTCAACCGGTGAATCCAGCGTCTCCTCTGAATCCGCTTCCAAACAACAAAGGAATCGTCGCTCTTCTTTCCTCAAAAAGCTGACGGGTCCGCGAGAAAACGCAAAGCGCTTCCTTCGTCTGGGGACATCGACTAACCCCCCCGCCATCGCATCTTCTGCTCCTGATTCTCATCTGGAACCTGAACTTCCTCCTCTTCCTCAACTCGAGATCCCTATGCCCCGAACTTCTCGTCCACGACCCGTGTCTGAAATCGTAATCTCTCCCAGAGATGCCCAAATGTTAGCTGCTGCTGCGCCTAACTTCGAGGGAGGCCGGATGCGCTCCGGCTCTTCCTCCACGATCGGCTCTGGGTCTCAGCCGCAACCAGTCTTGGAGCAAATTGCGGCGCCGCTCGGTTCGGATTCATCAGAGACGTTTCCTCCATTGCCGCATGAGAAAACGGTAGCCACGGGTAGTGGTATTTCGGTCGGCATTGCTCTCACTGAGCCTATGCTCTTTCTCGCCGGTTACGACCATAGCGACCCGAGCTCCAAGAAGTCCGCCATTCTCCGTGGCCAATTGCATTTGAAGGTTACTAAGAGCGTGAAGATCAAGAAGATCTCCATTACTTTCCGTGGACATGCCCAGACGGATTGGCCGGATGGTATGTAATCTTGCTCTTTTGGTATGTAAATGGGGCTTATCCGCTAATTCTTCCTTTATTTAGGAATCCCACCCAAAAAGATCCATTTCCACGACAAGAAAGATTTGGTCACTCATGGAGTCGTCTATTTTAATCATGGCGACACAGCCCTGATGCAGAACGACTATGGAGCACATTATTATCAACACGCGAAACCCTTCACGTCGGTTACAGGCAAGGACGGGGTGACTGCGAGCACCAGGGAGCTCTTCTCGAAGAGTGGATCGTCAACCTCGTTAAATAACAATCAAACTGCCAAAGAGCTCAAACGACTCTCGCTGCAGTCTGGCCACGGTCACTCGCGCAGCTTCGGGAAGAACGAGCTTCCCGGCGCCGCCCCAGCTCCCCAACGCAATTATAGATTGTTCCCAGTGGGTGATTATCTGTACAGCTTTGAGTTTCCCATCGACGGGTCTTTGCCGGAGACAATCAAGACAGACCTAGGGTCTGTCAAGTATGACCTGGAAGCTATTGTTGAGCGTGCAGGCGCATTCCGGCCGAACCTGCTTGGTAATTTGGAGGTTCCCGTGATTCGGACGCCCGCGGAGGGCTCGTTGGAACAAGTCGAGCCCATCGCCATCTCTCGAAACTGGGAAGACCAGCTTCACTATGATATTGTCATCTCTGGGAAGTCCTTCCCGTTGGGTACACAAGTTCCCATTGCATTCAAATTGACACCGTTGGCCAAGGTCGAATGTCATCGCATCAAGGTGTACGTGACGGAAAACATTCAACATTGGACAGCCGATAAGAGCGTGCATCGTTTCCAACCGGCTAAGAAGGTCCTCTTGTTTGAAAAACGGGCCGATTCGCCCAGTACGAGCACGTATCCCGGCAGTTCGATGCGTGTCACAGCTGGAGGTGGCATCGACTGGGACCGTCGTGAGGCTGCTGCCAGGGGTGAGGAGATGGTTGACCGAGGTAGATCCAACTTACTGGGTAATCTCTCGAGCGACGCAGCAGTTGGTCCGACTGAAATGGAATTCAACGTACAATTGCCAAGCTGCCACGAGATGAAGAACCGTGATGAGTCGCAAAGACTTCATTTCGACACGACCTATGATAACATTCAAATCAATCATTGGATCAAGGTAAGATGAGATTTCCATCAGAAGAAACAACATAAGCTAACAGGTGATTGCAGATCGTGCTGCGTCTCTCCAAGCTCGATGACAAGGAACCCGGAAAACGGAGACACTTTGAGATCTCCATCGACTCCCCGTTCCATCTCCTTTCGTGTAATGCTACTCAGGCCAACATTTACCTCCCCGCCTATACATCGCCGAACGCAGAGCCCGTGACGCCCGCACAAGAGTACGAATGCGGCTGTCCTGGCGCCCCGTTGTCCAACCGCAACAGTGCGCCTAATTATCAGTCTGTTTTAGACCGGGGCGATACTGGTCCCCCTATAAATCCAGTGACCGGTCGGGCACCGTCTCGAAGTTTTACCAGTGGTTCCGGCGGCCTTGCTCGTCCGCCGCAGGCCCATATCGCAAACGAGCCGGAGAGCAACCCTCGTCCAATGCATCTTCTTCGGACGCCTTCGTTCGCGCCACCCGCCTTTGAAGATGTTCCACCGCCGCCGCCCTTAATCACACCACCTCCAGATTACACGTCCATTGTGAGCGAAGGAGACCGGCAAGCGGCCTTTGAAGATTATTTCTCGCGGGCCACCTGTGAGGATAATGACGACGAGGATGACCCCCGAGGTCGAGGCCGAGTGGATGTGCCTCTGACGCCGGGAGGTCGCGTGAATCGCAGTATGGATGTCTCCCGTGATTGGGTGCGTCTGGATGATTCGATCATTTAAGAGACCGCGCAACATTTGTCAAAACCTGTCAATCAGGGTATTAACGACGTCATGAAGCTAAGGGTCATGTCTTATGTTCTACCATAGACTTTATTCTTTTTTTTCCAGGGGTTATATTCTGGCTTAGTTCGGTTAGCGCTGTACCGGATTTTTTGCACTTCATTTTTATCTTCTCTTTCGTCTTTCATCTTCATTTTTTCCTTCATGAATTTTACTTAATTTTCATTTTGCATGCAGGCGCAGCTTGGACAGGGTATATGTGAAGGTAGGGCGCTTTTTGAATGGCATCTGTTATGAGCGGTTTCTATATACATACATCTGAGTGATAGATATATATCCCATGCACAATAGGGCTGGGTATGTACATATTGCAGGTGGACAGTTAATTGACTATCTGTTCGGTACCATTCTTTTCGCCATCTTTTTTTGATCATGTTCTAAGGTAGCACATCAAAGCTATACCCCTTTCCTATAGTATTCACACTACACAGAATGCGCACTCCACACCACGTAGGAGCAACAACGATAGACAAGTCACTTGATCTTCCTAGCTACCCACTTGCCAAAGCTAGACCTTACATTTTGTGCTCTCAATACTGCGATAGCTCCATTTTGAGACTGCTACTAACCAGCTACTCTCCACACGCGTATGTATCTTCACGGAATGGGTAACAGGGTCCTAGTCCATAAGCCGTATGCAGCAAGGAGGGCGGAGTATATACATACCCTGTTCTTTGTACGTGGATTTCTTGAAATTAGAGTAGGATCTGCTGTACATCAATGATTTGCAATAATAATCCGGTGTAACTTCTCGGGGTTGGTGCTGCCAGTGTTGGTTCTGGATGGGGCTGTTTGATGTGACCTGTCAGATGTTGTTGGGATTGAGGTAGTACACGTTGAGTAGGGACATGGGTACTAAGTTGTGCAGGATATGTTACCAGACAATTGAACAGGTAGATGCCTGTTATGTATTCTGTACGGAGTATCGTTTTCGTGGTGCTGTCATAGTACTAGTCCAATCTATACCCGAAAAGGAAAGCAGATGTCCACTGATATCCATCTCTTCAACTTCTTCAATCTTCTTTTTCTTCTTTAGTCATTCCGGGAAACCCGACCATCGTGCAGAACAATCACAGATAATCGGATTAACGGAAGACCCTACAATTACGAATATGTCAATATGGACTTGCACTCTAATAGAGTACTAATACAGGTTGTCAGTTAACCTGCAACGCCGGACAAATCACCGGCAGGACATCGTCTCCATCAAAGGCCCACCGCAAATACATAACCTCGACCTCACTTGTCAGTTGTGTCGGTGGATTGCCCCCGGATACCTGGGTCGGTATCTGGTGCTTGTTTATTTCTTGCGGATGATTTGGACTTCATCTATCATACTTTGTACTGCTACTCCGTGCTTTGTATGGAGAGGTGGTTGGTTTCTTGCGCTACGATTTCTGATGTACTTTTTTTTATTATTTATTTGGTTTTATTGTTTTTGATTTTTTCGCGGCTAACATGGAAACCAGTTAACCCTCGGCGATCAGTGATAGAGATCGAGCATGAATCGACTGATCAACTACGCATCGCAAACTTGCAAGCCCCCCTCTCTCTTTCTGGATCGCAGCCACAGCTGCACGTTTCACCATGATCCGTGCCAGTCAGCTTCAATGGTTCTGCGGATCTTCTATTCTGTCAGCTGTGGAAAATCAGCTATCTGCACTGTACTTATTGTCTTCCGGTGTCTCCGCTTGATTGAGAGGCATCCTAGATCATTTAGCGAGCTGTCAAATTCTGCATGCTCAGATGCCTCCACTTTACCCATGTTCATACGTACTTTGCTTGCTTGGGCCTCCTCTTCTCGATTATTGGGTCAGTACTTTGTTGTCTCGTCGTTGTCTATTGGATTGAAGGCAATGCTTGTTTGCTTTGATATATCCTGGTGTATTCTATATCAGCCGGTTCGTCCGGGTTATCCGTTTTCGTTTCGTTTCTTTTCTTTTTCTTTGAACGAAATTTGCTCTTTGAACTTGTCTCTGTCTCGACTTGAGACTTCCCCTCCCTGTCTTTTAGTCTTGTTTCCGCGTGTCGTTCGTTTTAGATCAGCAGCTGGTCTGTTCTATACTTGTCTTGCTTAATATAGGCCGTTCATTGCCATTCTTTACCCCTCCTGGATTGAAGCTGTTGCATTTGTTCGAAGTTGGATCATTTTGTTTGACATTTCGTTTTATCCCCCTTCTTGCGGGATAGACCAAGATATCTGAGGGAGGATTCGCAATATAAAGACGAAGTCGAATTTGCCATGCGTCGATAAGGTTATCGATTTGATGCAGACCATTATTACCGATATTAACTTCAAATGGACCACGACGTGAGCACAGAAAAGACTGGCAAGGGTCAGCGCGACTATCTTCATTTCGAACCCAGGTTTCCATGGACCTTGCCGAACCTACGGACAGCACAACCATGGAAGAGGAGTAACGTGCCTTCTTCAGAAAAGAAGCCCAGAACCATTTCCACCGGTGAAAGTGTGGCGTTTATTCTCGCTTTAGCAGGTATGCTTGTTTTCATGACTGGTCTAGTAGCTAGGCTAACCCCTTTAGTTGGGATTGCTCTTATTGTCCTAGTATCTGTTTTTGTTATTTTCCGAAGGCGATATGGCCCGCGGTACACGGTGCGATGCTTCGTCACTGGGAAGCGCCCAAAGAGAAATCGACGAGCTCAATCTACTGTGCCGATATCCATCGAATCCGGGTTCCCATGCAGAGAAGCACACGCCATCGACAGCCTGACGGACGCGAAGACGAAACCCCGGGATGGCAAGTGCGTGACAGGGACAGATAATCCCCATCGCATGTCAACGCTGAGCCAGGCACAAACAGAAACCGATGGCGGACAATCAGTAGTGATCGATCCGAACCGTCCAAGTGCGCCACCACAAGACTCTCGTCCAGAGAAGACACAAACGGAAAGCAAGGGGTCTGGAAATACTGGACACAGGAAACCACCACCACCCGCCTTGCAACGATCCGATCCCCGCGCAGCGACAGAGCAACTAAGGGCCCTCGCCCCAACAAGTCCTAGCTCCAGTCGATTTACAACGAGCACTCAGTCCTCGGGCCCGTTACCATCCATCTATCGTATGGCCCTGGAATCACGCAACCACAAACGCAAGAGCAGCAACAATACAAACCGTTGGTCCTTTAACCAGGATGCACGCAGTGCAGTGGACAGTGAGGACCGTGTGCTGAGTTTACCGTCGCCATCACCTATGCTTCGGAATATCCTCCGGCCCAGCCCTAAACCCGAACCGTCACCTCCGCATGTATATCGGATGATCCAGCGACCGCCGTCGGTTCATTGTGATACGAGAGTACATGAGAATGATGCTGTTTTGCCTATGCTTCCACGGAGCGTTTTTGCCGTGAATGATCTTGTTGTAAGTAAATAATATGTTGTTATTATCATGCTGGAACTTTATGTATTATAATAGAACTATACGTTATAGCAACAGTACCTAGCCACCATTCGTTGAAACCCAATATAATAAAGCTATTCATCAAGTATCACATATAATCACCGAAAGAGTTAATACGTGTTTGACACCTCCATCGCATCAGTCCCCAACTCCATCCAAGTCAACCGCCCCCACCTCTCCGGCCTCTCAACCGCATCCACAAAATGCTTCAAAGCCAACACCACCTGCGCTGCCCATCTCTCCGGACTAACCTTCCCAACCCCCGTAGCCATAGGCGTCATAAGCACCGTCTCAATCCGATTCTTCTCCTTTCTCTCCCCCCCTGCACACATACCCCCCTCCTGCCCGCGATTATGCCTCTCAACCTCACACAACAAACTCCACACACACTCATAAACCACCTCCCGATCCCAAACCACATTCGTAGGAAGCCGCATCGTCGGACAGATCGCAATCCACCGACATCCCCACTCATTCATATGCTCCTTCTCCAACATCTTCTCCGGAAACCGCACAAGCGTACACGATCCAGGTGGCGCGAAGCCACGGTGCTTCTCGTACAGCACGTCCTGCACTGCATAGGTGAGGGTTTCATACGGCAATTTATGCCTCACGCAGAAGGAGCGCGAGATGGCGTCGTCGAAGGCGCCATCGAGGAGACCGTAGGAATTTGCGGGGGAGACGATGAGGTCGAATTTTGTGGTTTCGGGGACGGTGCGGAGGGATTCGTGCAGGGTTGTCAGGGTGATTTTGGGCTTGGGGGCTTTGGAGTCGTAGGCGCGCCAGTGCTTTGGGAGAGCGGATTCTAGGGCGCTTATGTATTTCTTTTCCATGCAGAGGAGAGTGATGGAGGGGATGTTGTGGGTCATTTTGGTTGAGTTCTTTGCTTTGTTTCTTTGGTTTGAAGCTGTGAAGAACTATGGCAAAGTAGATGGTGTTTATAGAGATGTTGACAGGTATGGGTTGACAAGTGACTGGAAGGAGTCTTGTAGACAGCCTTATGAGGAAGTTCCCTATTTGGGTGTCCGCGGGGGACGTCACGTGGGAATCAGCACCTTAATGGTACTTTAAGTTACCTGTCGTACTCTGTAGCATAAGCATCGAATTTTATTCTGATATAGGCTGTTATTTTGGTTGATACCCCACGGGGAAGTTGGCTACCAGAATATCCCCTGAAGTACGGAGTAGTGGTGTATGTCGCATAGTGCACAAGAACCCAAATAGTCAAGTTTATATAGGAAGTTGAATTAACAGATATCTATTAAAATAAAAAGTCATCAGTCTTGGCTAGAATAAATGTAGTCCATGTAGCAGGAGGATGCTGTAGGCCGAGTCAAGTAAGGCATGTCAAGTGTGCGATACTCCTTACGGAGTACATACTCGGTCACGCAAGCACTAGACCTGATAACAGCTTATCTCAATGACAAGTCGCTAAGTCAGTTTCCAGTTAGCCAGTTAGTCAATACTCCGTGCTCCGCTAAGTAACTGACTCCGCGTATAATACTCCTTATTATGATCGCATCAAAGGACCCAGTATGGAGTTAGTAACGAAACCGTCGTCTTGACGGACAACCACAATGCATTCCCGATACCCACAGATACAAAAGTCCGCTGCAAACGGTTTTGAAACAAGCACATCGTCAAGAACGAAGAATATGGCTATTCCCTTCACCCGGGCCGTCCTTCGAAATGGAATTGCGCTTGCGATCCATATAGATAGAGCACATAGGTGAATTATGTACTATGCATGCACGATGATGTCGGGCTGAGTCCGAGATTTTTCCGCGTCCTTTTTAGAAGTATTTAGTAGTTTCTTTTTTGGCTTGCTAGAATATGACAGTTGAGAAGGGGTGTTGGTCTTCACAGAGCACGGAATAGATCACGCATAAAAAGGCAAGAGAGAACGACCATGGCGCCCCCGTGCTCTGTACTATCATTCCATCGGTTAAATGTCACAGTGGCGCGAAACAAAACCAGTAAACCTTCCACAGGCCCCATGGGAGAGATCTTCACAGAACATGGATGGTCCATTCTGAAACCGGCATGGTGCATGGCTGGAATTAGTTAAGTGGTTTGAGACAAAGTACCTCATACAGCAAGCAATCCGACCCAGTGCGACCGTTTCCGCTAAAATATAAACAGAAGCCACTAAATATGAGCTATGTGTTAGCATCGTGGGTCGGTGGGCAGAATAAAAACGTGGTCTGTTGCGCGTGTATCGGACGGGCGATTGCCCGGAGTATAAGCGCATGACACAATGTATGCACCCCGTATTCTGAGCAAGGTGGTTATTGATAATCTTCAAGAGAAAATAGACGATAGTCCGTCTGCCTTAAGACGACCCCTATACGGAGTAGACGGGATAAAAAGGAGATGGAACTTAATCCGTTGTCTTCCGGTTCCGATGGTTGGCCGCTGAGAGCACCGCGCATAGGCCAGGATTTCCATAGTTAATGGGATTGCAAGTGCCGAACGAAGATTCATTAAATATTACGGACATTATTGACCCAGTCTTGAACGATCGACAACTAAAAGGGTGTCTTGAGTCAGTCGTCCGCGTTGCCTTTTCGGTAGTCTGGAAGGCCTATCGTCAGTGCTCAGGGCATCCTGATTCCTTCCTTCCCCCGTGTCCATATTGAGTAGCACGCCATGTGAGCGCAGAATAAGAGCTCGACGATGGTAGATTGGAGGGTTCTGTAACAATTATAAATGCCGTGGTTATGAAACAGCTCTAATCGGGAATAGAATAAATTAACTTTTTCCTTGCCGGTCGACGTCAAATCACAAATAATGAATGGAATGTTCCATTGGTGAGATCGTCGCCGGACTATCGATATTCGTCCCTGCTCCGAAGTTAAAAAGATAGAGAAAAGCATGTGCCCCCGTAATCATACCCCGTATAGTAGTACTCCGGCCCTGTACGTAAACTATTTACTCACCTTTAAATGCGCGGTGTTTATGCTTTTTACAGAGACGGATTACACACGGAATACCTTCAATTTTGAAACCCTAGGGGGCTCCACAGAATGCATGCTAGAATCCGGATTCAGCAGCATATGCAGCCGGTCCGAAACCGAGGGTTTATGATTGAGTCAAAAAAAAGTTCGTTTGTCGCTAAGAGTGAAGGGGCCTCGTCGCAGTACCCAATGATATCGTTCAATGGCACTCAGGCCATTGTGAGCGGAGAGTCTCGGCTGCATGGATTCCGAATATGGACCGGAACGAAGGAGCACTTGCCCTAGGTGCTTTCCTAAGTAGGTTATCTATAGCAAATTTTCGATCAGATCCAGTCAGCTACTAGCCTAGCAGGGTATGGTGTAATCAATCAAGAAAGTTGCGGGGACAAGCCGCTTCCTAATCGAATACGTATGAATTTGAACATCCGACGCTTTTTTTTCCTTCCCGGAAAGACTTCGGGACATCCCTAAAAATAATCGCTTTGTCCACCAGCCCGTGCCTCTGTGAATAGTGAGTGCCTGGACAAGGCTGTACTCCGCAAGGTACGAGCCTATTAGCCGCGTTTACTATGTTGTGGAGACCGGTAAAAGCCTTCCATCTCGTTTAAGAGGTCATAGTAAAGTGCGACGATGGAGCTGGCTGAGGCGACCCTCATCATATAATGTTCTTTCTGCATGTAAGATGGAATGGTAGGTTCAGAACCGAACCCTAAGAAGCCCACATCCCATGTCAACATTGGACAGGGATCTGTCTTCCGGTAGCCGCGAGAACCTGCAGACTTTTGTCCAGTCTGCGATAGATGCAGGAGAAAGTGCTTCCGACGTCGTCTCGGTGGGCTGGCCTATGCGTCATCGGGGCAAGGGCCCCGTCAAAATAGCATGCCACGCTCTATTTTGCTCTCAAGCAGAAATCGACAAGGTTGATTCCTTGTTTTTCTTTTTCTTTTTTTTTTTTTCTTCTCTATCTGCCTATTCATCTTTATTTCGTTTGGCTGACCCGGCCCGAGAGATTCCGGTGCAAGCGGCCGCCAAGTCATCAAGCATATAATGTCCTATTCTAAAAGAGGGTCAAGGCGTGCGTTGCATGTATCCCTTATCCCGAATTGGTCATATAAGTATTTTCGCCTGCTGGAGTAGTATTTGTTCCGTGAAGTTTTCATTTGGGCAAAAAAAAGAGGTCCATATTGCACGAGTCGAGCATGATATCTGATTGTGTATCTAAAAACGCAGTACTCCGTAGTATGCCGGAATCAACGGGCATCAACGGTAATTTCCTTTTTCCCTTTTTCCTTCACAGCCACACAAACAGAAACAACCAAAATGTATGATAATTTACTGTCAAAAACCTCATAACAATTCCAAAATAGAAAGGGTGCACCGTCAGATTTTTTTACAACTCCATCAAGCGCCGTTTCGTACCAAAATAATAACCCAAAGCAACCAAATCACATTGTATCACCGTTTTGTGTGCAAGGAGACAAGACATTGAAGACAGTCGATGAAAGTAAATAAAGGAAGGGTTTCCTTGGTCGGCGCAAAAGCACGAGAAGAGTCGAAAGTGGAAGATATCTCGAAGAAAAAATAGTGTTATCGTGAAATAATCGGAGTGTCGGGAGTTCTCTCGTCTTGAAGTCGGAATGCCGTCGGGGGTGTTTAGAAGTTCTTTTCAAGAGCGACATGAAGGTCGGTCCTTGCCGAATTAGTCCTCGACAATTCGGATGGTTACCGCCAAGGAAAGCATGACGAAGGAAGTGCCAGGGTCAAAAAATTAACGAGCGCAGAGGTGGCATTTCCCAACGACAATTATAAATCTGTCATGAGGTCCACTCGGACAGCGATTTTCTTTGCTCCCGTCCAAAGATGTGCGTAGGAAATGGGAATCTGGCTGAGTGCAGGTGCTATAGATGTAGTAATTTTTGAAGTAATTGCACATTTCGAACACATAAGACAACTTCAGAGCTGGCGAATGAATTCGGTACCGCAAATTGGTACCCAAGGAGCAATTTATAAAAAAAGAAGTCTAGGAGGGAGAGATAGAAAAAGAATAGAAGAAGAGAGAGTTCAATCGTGGAGACAATATCGAGTGATATGACTTGATTTAGAATCAACCGCAGAAGTAGCTAATAAGAGCAGTTGAGAAGGGTCAAGATAATATAGGGACTCGAGACGGAAACGTTGATACTCACAGAGGAATGAAAAGGAACAAAACGTTGGCATTTGTATGTTGCTCATGGTGGGGAGCTGGGACAATGCTACTTGCCATACTTTAACCGTGCCTGAAGCAGAAAAGCCCCGTCGGCCGAAAATTGATGGTCGCCAGTCGTTTGCAAAGGTCAGACAAGCAATGGCCCACGAACCTTTTTGGGACTATAATTCACCCTGGTGAAGCAATTATCGAACAATGCACAGAGCAAAATGCGTGGCAGTTTTGTTCTAAAAATCCCTGTAAGGAAAGCGGGTCTTGCATTATGTTTGCTGGAGCCGGCGCCGTTGAAATTCTGCGACACTCTAATTGCCGTCAATGCGGCGGCTGGAACAAGGAAGTGGTTCCAGGGGGCTTCGGTGGAAACTGTTTCTTCATGACAAGATCAACCTGCTTAGTTTCTCACCCACAGTAGTCTCGAATCGGCTCAATGGGAGGAGATCGACACGGTTTCTTGCATCCATTCATTTTTATTTCTCCCCTTCCCATTTGCACGTGGTGTGTGGCTGGGATCAACATGCATGAGTAACTGAGGAAATGCGATAAAATTCAACACAATCATACAAGGATGAAAGAAGCAACACGCAGATATTGTCCGGTTTTGTCATATTGCCCCATGCTCGAATATTTTGCCTCATTGGTGTACAGTGCGGCTTTTCTGGCTTGACTGTCCCCGGACTGATGGTTCGATTCAACGTCCCCGTAGACAAACAAATGACTGCCGGAATTTCGGGGAACTGTACCGGCCGAACAGACAGCGAGAAATCGCTATTATTGGACAAAAGCTCATAAGATCGAATAGTCTCCCGTACTTTCTCATTTTCTTGGACGCTTGTACCGCCTCATCCTCGCACAGACGCAGGGGCGGATGGAGGCGGAAGCGTAGCAGGCCAGCGGGTTTCAACTCTTCAATAATGGTCTGACAGCATCACCATGGTCGGTTTGCTATTAACACAGTGGAAACAATTGGAAGACTCGCACCGCCTCCAAGGTCAAGAATGAGGCGTTGTGGTACCATAAACTAACACCCTGTAGTTTCCAAACAATAACTCAGCATAAAAACGAATCTTAGATATATAATCCTAACAGAATCTGATATTTTTGGGCTTATTGCTGGGATACCCAAGTAAGCTAGCAATCATATCAGTAACCTATACAACTGCAGCGCTCAGTAGGCTAGTAGTAAGGCTGGGATCCACAAAAAGCCAGGATGTGGAGTACAAAGCATGTCGCACTCATGAATTGAGGTGCCTCTTGTTAGTCTGGATTCTGCCGAAGAGAGCAAGGATGAAACCATGTCGATAGGTACTTGTCGATCAAACGGCCGACTCGGGTCTTGGTCCGTCGGTATTTACAGGACGATGAACACACTAGGTCATACTCCGGAGTAAGTCGAGTAATGTGGCCACGTGTGTCGTGTGATTAACTTCTAATCCAGGCTTCATGTGTACTCCGTATCCTGTTTGGGCTGGGTCTAGTAGGGGTCAGCAAGGGCACGTATTCACGAATGTTGGACGAATACCTAGTGCTCTGAGCGGCTGAATAAATACCCGAACGTAATTATTGCCGTATTTCCAGGAACACGGAGTTTCTCGATGTGGTCGAGCAAGCTTTCGGCTCCATAACACTGGGCTGAGCCTGACCCAGACAGGAAACAGCCGCTTTCCGAGAACTGCTTGGCAGGGCGTAGCCAAACTCAGAGATCCGAAACTCAGAGCTTCCAGGTTTCATACTCAGCTGTGCCGGGAACACCACCAAGCAGATCAAAAGAGCAGAGCCAGAGGAAAAGGGAAAGAGTCAGTAACTCGCGAGAGATTCGGTGATTGAACAAAACCCGATTCCGTGCCTGAACATTTACGTCATTATTTGTCATTAGAAACGTTACGGTAACTATGCCTGCTTAGGACTAGCGTAGTTCGCTATCCAGACAACACTGTTTGTTTCCTTTTTTAGACTAGCGCGTCTCGTGATCTGTCGCAGAGACAATATGGCCATGAACACGTGAAGAAGCCTGATTTGAGACAGCGGCTATATACAGTCTTGCTATTGTTGTTATTCTTGTGTTGATCCTGCATCCGAGGATTTCTGATACAACAGAGATGTGCCATTAGACTTTGCTGGATCGGTGGTTGCTGAAAGTCTGGAACCGAGAGATTTCCGTCCGTCGTTGTGGAGACGAGTCTGATACCGATATCCTGATAACCATCGCCGTGCAAAAACAACCAAACAATCCATCTTCGTCAACTCCTTCTCCCCTACAAGTCGGTATTATGGGGTTCGGGGAATTCAATACGTTATGTCAGAAGGCAGCGGTTCCGCTATGTTCTTTGGTGGGACCAGCCTCGTCTATATCAGGCGCAACTGGCATCATACCTAACTGTTATGCTCGAAACATCGAGTTAGCCAATACGATCATCTTTGAGGGCGCCGCTTCATTTATGCACATTATTGCCCTTGTCATGACGGTTATTATGATTCTGCATGTCAGATCCAAGTTTACTGCAGTTGGTAAGTGTGCCTTGGGCCGCAGAATAATATAATAACACTAATAGCCTCATAGGCCGCAAAGAAATTATTACATTTTTCTATATATACATGGCATTAACAATCGTCTCTCTCATTGTCGACGCAGGAGTCGTTCCACCAAGAAGCGGCCCTTTCCCATATTTCGTGGCCGTCCAGAATGGGCTGGTTTCCGCGCTGTGCACCTGTTTACTCGTCAACGGGTTCGTGGGTTTCCAGCTTTACGAGGACGGCACTGTGCTGTCAGTATGGCTTCTACGACTGACATCTGTGACTATGTTTGCCATATGCTTTCTCGTGTCTGTTCTGACCTTCAAATCGAAGGGAGGCCTGGGTCCTACCAATACCATTGGCTTGTTCTTGGTCCTCTATGTCTTCAACGCAATATGCGTTGCAGTATACTTGATTATGCAGCTTTTCTTGGTCGTGAATACCCTTGAGGACCGCTGGCCTCTGGGCCACATTGCCTTCGGTGTTCTTGTTTTCATCGCTGGACAGGTTATCCTCTACGCTTTCGGTGATACGATCTGTAACAAGGTTCAGCACTATCTGGACGGCCTGTTCTTTGCCACTTTCTGCAATCTTCTAGCTGTTATGATGGTTTACAAGGTATGTAACTACCAAGCTCTTTTTCCATTTAACATTTAAGTAACTCTGCCACAGTTCTGGGACTATATCACCAAGGAAGACCTTGAATTCTCAGTGGGTATCAAACCCAACAATTGGGAAGTCAAGGAGCTTCTCCCAGATGATGAGCGACGAACATCGCTATACCCGGATTCGGAGTACGCCAACAGCTGGCACCACCGGTCTTCGAGCTATGGCCGTTAAGCCATGGAAACCGAATTCCTTTCATGGGCTATATATCTTTGGTTATATTTTCCTCTGAAAGTCGGAAATGGATTATGCCAAATTTTACGATATGGCCTTATGCATGACGAATTTATGTACCTAAGTTTTGCAATTTATGGCGCTGACAATAATGGCTCTTGAGCTCTATTCAGACAGGGGACAATAGCATCGAACCACTCCCCTTACTAACTGGAACACACCCACAATCTAACTACGCAAACAAATCCATAATATATTCCTAATCCCTATCTAGATACGAAGACAAAGAGAGCGTGCAGAGATGCAATCCCTAGCAAAAGTATTCGTAACAATAATCCTGGAAATAATCACAAATTCACAATGAGCCTTCAGCAAAGCGAAATTTAACTAGGTGCGACCCAAATGATGGACCTAATGGGCTCGAGATTCTGGCAATAGCTTTTGAAGTCGCGAGATCGTGGGTAAATATGCGGCGCATAAGGTGTTTATCATTATTCTCGAAAGCCCATGAGCTCGCCACTAAAAGAGGAGCCCAGTGTGCTTCACGGGATCATAACCTAAACGCGCATGTGATGGAGGTTGACGATTGGTCTGGAAGACTCCTAAACTGCTGATACTGAGTGTCGATATATGTCGAGCTGCAGACTTGAACTCAACAAGTGGCCTCATTTAATTGATCATCACAACATCATCCCCACTCATGAATGGGCTATCTGTGTCTCTTCGACGATTCCCCGGGCGGCTGACACGAGTGACGTGACTACTGCTACCGTGACGACTGCTGCGACTGCTGCGACTGCTGCCATGGTGACTACTGCGACTGCTGTGACTACTCTCGTGACGACTGCTGCGACTACTGCCTTCATGTCGAGAGCGACCACCGTCTTCAAATCGAGGGCGACCACTGCCTTCATATCGACGGCGGCCACTGTCTTCAAGTCGAAGGCGTGAAGATCCCTCGTTGATTCCTTCAATTGATCCCCTTGCAGAAGCGTACCAGTCCTTGTCAATTGATTTGACCAGCAATTTACCCGCATGGTCAACAAGCTTCTGAAAAGCCGGGTTTGCCTTCTGGGAAAACATGCTGACATGGGCACTGAGTTCGTTCTTGACTTGGTCGTTTTGGGCTTTGACCCATCCCAGTCCCAGCTCTGCCTCTTCTTCTTCGGTGGGGAGGGTGCAAAAGGTGCGGTTTTTCGAGCGTATGATTTTTTGGCCAACTTGAGTCTGTCCTTCGTTCGTTGTCTCCACCAGTGGGTCTGCACCCTGACCTAGTGCAGTGTAGAAATTTGTGCAGCCTATGTTGCGTTCTCGGCGCACCTTTGATAAGCGAGCTAGGCGTCGACGTAGCACTGCGGGACGAGCTAAGCACCCAACGAACGATAAATGAGACGATACCCAACCCCATCCATCTGTTAGGCGGTCACGTTGAGTATACATTGCTGCTGCTCCGCCTGCAGCGACGGCGCCTGCAGCTCCCGCGAACATAGCGTATCGACCCCATCGTTGCCAGGACGGCGTGGCGGCAGCATCTGTGGCATGGCTGGTTTGGCCCGTCGATGTTTGGGTGACTGTTGTCGTCACTGCTTCTTTTTGTTGACTGGCCGCAGTGTCGTTATTACTCTTCCCCCATCCGAAAAAGCCAGCCACTTCTGATATCGCATTGTATGCTGACGTGGCTGTTTTATAATGTCCTTCAGCATTATATGAAACAACTCCCGGTGCTATTCCCAAGTAAGGAGTATCGAATGCAATCACGCCTTGGACATGAGGGAACATATAATCACTGGGTTCCACGAGGCGGGGGCAGTGAGCAACCGTCGAATCGTGTGAATTTGCCGATATTTGACTTGATGCATCATCATCATCATCCAGCGGCTCCTCGGGAGTCAAGGGTCGTTCTGATGCCAATAGCAGAAGTGTATCCGCTGCTACTATGCCACCCATCGAATGGCCAACCAGGAAGACATGGACAGAGGGGTCAACAGTAGGCGAAGCAGTCCGATTTGCCACTTCCAAATCGATTACTTTATCTTGCAGCCTGCACAAGCGAGATACAGTCAGCAACCAACCACAACTCCGTACAGAGCAAATAAACCCCATTGTGATGATGGCGAGACGTACCATTCGCGGAACCTGTTCACGCTTTCTCTCAAATCGCCCCGAGTCTCGTATTTGGGATATACTATTGTAACGACTTTGATGGCGGGAAGTTTCCGTCTAATCAGTGCACGGAGATGCTCTGGAAACTCGCCAAATGTAGCATCATCGCCCTATGAAATCAGCATAATTCGTCAGTCGCCCTCGTTCTTCACTTGCCGGCGTTGCTCGCACGTGTCTATAAGCACAGGGTCTTGGAGATAAGCTATCTGAAGACGCACCTTGAAGCCGTGAATAAGCACAATGAGAATTGTCTTGTTCATTTTGTGGATTATTTAGCTGCTATGCAAAAGACATACTTGTCGTTGTGCAAAAGAAAAAAAAAAAAGCATCGAATTGAACCTTTGAGTTGGCATCGCAATTGCTGCAATATGTTTACGTCATCCGTACTTTTGACACGTGACAGTATATTAAGGCACCAGAATGTAGTTTCAGGCACAACAAAGGAAACATATTTCATAAGCGAGTGATGCGCCTGTTTTCCATTATAGATTGTCACTTTTCATAACCTCAATATCTCAACCGCAAAAGTATCTACAGAGCCTTGAATCTAGTACATAGGGTATTAGGATACTAAAATTATATACACTGAGCAGAAACCTTCTTCAGATAAATATTTCTCCAAGTAATATAAATTACCACCGTATTTTTTGTATTTTTCATATTCCAGCAACTATGGCTATAAAAAGCAATATACATTTTCTACTATGTGTATGCCTATTGCTATCTTATAAATAAGGCTCTATATCTATTGGTGGCTGAGACATTAAGGGTATAAAAAGTGACATTTTATACGGAAAACAGAGGCGCGTCACTCGCTTGTGAAATATGCCAACATAACTAGCTATAAAACAACTGGATGATTTGTACTTGCAACCAAGCGATGAAAACCGATTCTCTATTAAAGATGTTACATACAGTACAGAAAAGTCAGATATGCATCTACAATTTCTCTTCAGATGGGTATCGAAGTAGACAGTCTTGCAACGTGGTTGCCAACAATGCGCCATTCGGATTCCATAGCCAACTCTCATGGACTGCCCTATTCCCTCCTGACCGAGAAGTCCAAGCTTCCTGTAAAAACCACTTCTTTGGCAAGTCCTTCGCGTCATCAGATGCCACGGAGCCCCAATCGATCATTCTCAAAGCTTCTTCATGCTGATGAATGATTACAGTCAGGGTCAAGCTCGCTAGTGCAATAAAGTTTGTATTGCCCAATGCGCGTGGGATTAACGGGATGGAGTTCTTGTCGCTGGAATACAAATGTGCACATATATAGAGGTTATCAAACTCTCCCGACTGGTCCCTGGTTTTGAGGTCGAGAATGTCTCGGGATGTAGCAGGATACTCCGGGGAACCCTTGATCGAGTAAAAGCTTAATTGCCGGTACTTTTCTGGATTTTGCTTGATCTCTTTCGCGTCATTATAGCCGTTCATATCCACCTTTCTCACGTCAGCCCCGGGAAATTCTTTCTCCGTGATACTTCCTTCTTCAACATGTTCGATCCACCAGTCGGCATCCACGCTTGGACTGGCAGGGTGATCTTCAGGACGCTTCCCATATAAGACAGACTTGTAGCGTTGCTGAGCAGTCTCGGGTTGATGACCGAAAGCCTGTTTCTTTTCATCCCTTTTGAACGAACAGACGCACGTGAAGCAGACATCACCATCTTGTCGCGCATCAACTGTACGAGTACAATACACTTTCCCGTCTCGTGTGCGTCGGACCGCATAGACAAATGGAACGTCCAGACGCCCGGGGAGTGTAAAAGTACCGGTCATATTCTGCCAATTGTCAGTGACATGACCCAAAGAGTGATAGTGTTGAAGGATTCCTTTGACTTACATGTATTGTAAATCCATTGCCCACGGTTTTGGACGCGGCATACGCCGATTGAGCATATACATGTCCGCCAAATGCCATGAATCCGCCCCCCGGAGAGAACGGGACAGCTCTTGAGCGAAATCGGTATGGCCTTTCAGGATCATCAGCAGTAGTCAATGGCTGGCGGGAATCATTCAGTGGCTCGAGCGCCATCAACTCGACGAATGGTAGAGGACGACATAACTCTCGCGGGTCGAGATCGGGCTGATCATCTTTAGAAGACATGGTGAATCCAATCCAAATAAACTGGCCGAGTAATGCGAGACCGTCAATCTGGAAACTGGTGATATTACCGGAAGACTCCTCAAGCAACTAGTGATGCGGAACCCTCGGACGGCCCAGTCTTACGGAAAAAGCAAATTGGTTGACAGAGTGCGATTCCCCTCTCGATTTGCAAGCGCTTTTCGACCAAACTGTGCCCCCTGTTCGTACTATGAGGTTCATAGCTGAATTGTGTTGGAGACAAAGTTAATGTGCACTTTTGAAACCTCGGCATGTCGGAGATGCACACCCACTGTCATGATGTGATAATCATCAAAACAATGTCAATAGTCTGCAACAATCAAAACAGCCCTTGAAATGCTCTATCGAAACTCGTTGGAGAACATCAAAAATAGGCTCTTATTGTGGGTAATCAAATCCCGGCGAATCACGTGCTCCCTGGGACCTGGAGCACTCTATACAAGCATAAAAGTTGAATGCCAAAGAGATTCAGATTTATATGCGCCTGCGACAATGCTAGTATGATAATACAAAACATGACCCGATCCCAAAACATAATACACATAAGAGAAGGAATAGAAAAAAACAGCAGAGATGTGCCTCAGTCACACACCCTCCAAACAACAAATGCCATAACATATCCATTATTTGAAAGTGTCGGCAATGTTGCGGTTATTATTCCATTCGACCTGCCCTCCCACATCCTTGATCTCTTCAAGCTTGTCGCCGAGCTTCACCACCGAGAAACGAATCATCCGTGGGTCAAGACCGAGCGTTCTCCGGACGGCCGTTTGCACTGGCCCCGATGCGTCGAATCGCATGATGAAGTGGTGACCATCTGTATACCGGGCTTGATGTTTCGTGGTGGGCCTGGGCAATCGAAAGTTGCCCCAATTCGTGTAGCCGCGGACTACGCCGCCGGACCGGAGGACTTGAATACCAGCGTTGCGGGCGATTCTATTATGGGGTTAGCGAATTCTGTCTCTTTTTATCGTAATACCGAATCAACGCATGACCGGAGAGCGCGGGAAGAACAACGGAGTAGGGAAACGTACTCTCGGACCTCGTGGAGGCTGCCCGGACGGACCTGTCACGGATCAGTAAAAATCTAGGCAAATACACAAACAAAGAAATACAGAAGCACTCACAATCGCAATCAACTCGTACAACATTGCCGCCAGCGGTCTGCGTTGAATGGCTGCAATTCGACAAATATGCGGGATGGGGATGAATTTTCGCGGTTCGCCGGCCAAAGGCAGTCTAGCTTATCAGTAGGCTTGGCGCTGTCTTATCAAATGATCCCGCTCGGGAAGCTCATCGGCCATTCTTATTCTCCAACTTCCCACTTCTTCTCCTTCTTTCACCCTGCTTCCTTCCTGCTCCTTGTTCTTACCTTCTAATTCTCCTACTTTTCCAATTCCTCAGATCTTCGCTCAAAATGGCTTCCGTCGCCCGCTGTGTCCCCCGCTTCGCTTCTCGCATGCTCTCGCCGAAGCTCCCCATTGCGCGCATTTCGCCCGCAATGGGTTTCCCGCGGGGAAGTATCCGGAGCTTCTCGCAGAGTGCATTCTGTACGATTGCACCCAATTCTTCATGGAAATGTCTTTTTGAATTGAATATGATGCTAACATCTCTTGTTTTGTCTTGTAGTGCAGGCAAAAAAGTACACTGAGTCACACGAGTGGATCGAGCTTGCCAACAACGGCAAGACTGGTTAGTATTCCTATTGCGTTACAATGACGACCGACTATCCCGGTTCGATGATCGAGCAAAAAGCACGCTGACAAGACAATCAATATCTCAAATACAGCCAAGGTTGGAATCACCGAGTATGCTGCTCAGTCCCTTGGCGATGTCGTCTTCGTCGAGCTCCCCGAGGCGGGCCTGGAAGTCAGCGCTGGCGAGCCCGTCGGGGCTGTGGAATCAGTCAAGTCCGCTTCGGACGTTCTGTCTCCTGTGTCTGGAACGGTTGTGAAAGGTAACACTATCCTTGATGACAAGGCCAAGGCTATCAACGAGAACCCTGAGGGTGATGCCTGGATCGCCGAAATTGAGGTCAACGATGCCACAGAGCTGGAAGGATTGCTGGACGCAGAGGCCTACAAGGCACAGCACGAGTAAGAAACTGATAGGTGCGGATTTGAGATAAATATATCGGCAGGGTTTGCGTGGTTTCTTCTTGTTGTCTACTGTTTTGGTTTTTAAAAGCGTTATATGATTTTGTATGACTGGGTGTGGTTTCCTTCAACGAAGATGCTCGACATATACGTCGAGTTTACAATGGCTAGACCTTTGTTCAACAGTCACGGTCTAATATATACATGTTTGATATTAACCAATCGGTGCTAGGCGTATTTCGAAGTAGTTGTGATTTCTGGAGATAGTCCATGACGTAATGAGGTCATAGAGTGAACAGGCCTTTAGACATATTATCATCATTAATCATTTATATCCATGTCCTCTATGTATTCTAGCACTATATCCCTCAGCCACACTCTATACAGGTGGGATAGATTCACGACAGATCGGACACTGCAACCTCAACCGCATCCAGCTCTCAAGACAAGTACTATGGAAGATATGCCGACATGGGGTAACCATATACGTGCGCCTCGTCAGAATGCTCGTAGCCCCATCCGCCACACTACTGCTACCCCCAGGTGCACCCGGAGCCCCAAGTACAGGGACTTCCATCTCCTGCATACAGATAGCGCAGTCGAACATCGCCTTTTTCCGATATTTCGGTCTAGACTTGTCTTCTGCCTGGGGTTCTCTCTCGTCTGCGCGTAGGGATCCAATTGGCAGCGTACCGCCTGATTCGAGGTCCTGCTCGGGCCCGGTGTTATCGCGCAAGATAGGGTGGTAGTCGTATGCCGGGGGCGCCCAACCTCGGGGGACGAAGAAGCGAGGACCAAGGATATCCTGGACAGCCAATAGCCAAACCTGAATCCAGACCCAGCCGGTCATTGCTAGCGCCGTGATTGAATCTGGGCGGATGAACAGTACGTTTCCCCGTACAGTTAGGAAATAGATAAATGGAGATAGCCGGAGCACACTTTCACCGACGACAAAGTCCCATCTCAAGGCCTTGCGACAATTGCGCATGGCATTGCGATAGATCTGTGGACACCAGAGCGATAGATAAATGAATGATAGGGTTCGAGCATATATGGATCCCAGCCGGACCGGCCAAAGGAAAGACCATATTGAAGTGATAAGTAATAGGAAGAGGATGAGATAGAATCGAGCGTACATGGCTCCCACATCTGCCCGAGCATTTCCCGAAGATGGTGTTGGGTTGCGATTAGGTAGTTGCGTGGTTTCGTCTTCAGGTGGATCTTGATCCGGTGTCAAAATGACGGGGGTCGCATCAGTGTCACCCATCCGTCTTGCAGTCGCAGGCGGTGGCAAGCTATCTGTCGTAGTGCTTGAAGACTGCTGGTTAGAACGACGGATTTGTTCTTGCCGTTCAGGCGCTTGGACCGCCCATATTTCCATCATGAACTTCATTCCAATATAACTGACCGAAAGAAAGGTCAGGAATGATACTGTCGTTATCAACAGGAACGACACAGCTGAATATAGTTCCAGGAGAAGGAAGACAAGCACAAAGGCATCTCCAAATGACATCATTGCAATAGTATAAAAACTAATGCGACTCCTCGTCGACGGAGTCGATGCTTCCTTGATCTGTCGCAATAGAAGTGTGATCTGCCCAACCAAGACACCAGAAATCAGGAACAAGAGGCGGGAGGAGTACTTCGAATATTCTTCTAGTTTGGGACCAGATAGGTACAGGGCATCCGAGGGAGGAAACTCTGGCGCTCCTTTCGTCTCAAGGATATACCCACAATCGGGCGAAAACACCACAGCGGACATGACCATGAGAGGGGGAGACGGAACCGGTGCTCCCATGGGATATCTTAGCTCCTTCTCTATCTGCTCGATGACTGTCCCCTCCGCCAAGTAATTTTGAAAGGCGATCGGGTGCTGTTGCAGATAAATGATATGCTCGCATCTTGGCGCAGGGAACTCGACCTGTTCGGATCCAATTACCGAAGACCACGGGAACAACGTCGGTTGATCAACTTCCTTCTGGGATATCGTATCGGACAGCGACTTGAGGAGAAGCTGGTGTGCGAGTTCATATGAATCTGGTGAAAAGGTAAAGTGCGGCAACGCGAACAATCCGCCGAACTTCTCGCTGGTGGTTGTAAGGATAATACCCCCTGTCTCAGGATAATGAATCCCCAGCAGCGACAAATACCACGTATGACCCCAGTAATCATTGCTTTCCACGGCCAAGCTCGCCCTAATTTCCCGAGCACGCCTATCCCCGAGCCGAAATTCTTCCCCACCACCGTCATGGAGGTCCAGATAAAGTGTGCCACCGGGTCCTGTAATGTTCTGGCTGAACTCGTGGGTAAAATATTCATGCTCCAAAGCGATAGCTGTTACGTTGAGACGCTGAGCATTGGAGTCGTGCTTGTTCCGCACCCAGTCTCCCAGTAGCTTTCCCGTCGCATTGCGATAAACCGGCAGATGGATATGGCTGAGATTCATGACGGTAGAAGGATAATCTAAACCAGCATCTGAGATGGAAGATCGTAGCTGACGACGGGCCCGATCTTGCGCATCCGATAGGAGATCCCATGCATAACTGTCGTTCTTTCTGACGCCGGCAAAGGGTAGCCATCGGTCCGCGCGGGGGTCGAAGTCCCCGTAACGGGATTCATTTAAACGACGAAGCGCATCCTGCTCTCTCTCGACCTCTATTTCATGCTCGCGACTCTGTTCGACCAGCGGTGGACGACTCTGCGAACTCAGAAGGAGATAGAGGACGATTAGGAAGAAGAAGAGGGAACCGCGGTTATCCATTGATCCCTAAGCAACACAGGCATCGGATTCGAGCTACTTCAAAGTAGGCGCGCTATGTACATTGCATTTGGAACAAGCAGAAAGACGATGAACAGAGATATTTCTATCGCTGCCTATGCCGCACGGAATCTGCGGAGCGAGTAACAAGTAAGAGTGATGGAGGCGGCGAAGTCGATGATGCGATGAGGTTAATGAAAGATCAGCGGTGGCCTGAGGCATAAAGTATCTTATCGTCTCCTTTCTGGCACATCCTCCGCATTGACCAGCTTCTCCGTATCAACCCCCCATTGCCATTCCCGATTGTCATTCCAGGACCACAAATTGGCACAGGTTGGATTTTTTAGGGAAATGGCGTCCAGTTTGCCCCTTCCAGTTCCTCCACGCACTCCTACGCCGCCCCCCGATGAGCAACCTACGGTGATCCCTGAGTCTAGATCTCAGGAATACAACAGCTTGCGCTTATCGCCAATGGTTGACACGTTTACTCAGCTGCGCAGTCCCTCAGATATGGGAAGTCAAGACCGATTGAGTCCGACTAAGGCGTCTTTTGGTCCTAGTGCAATAGAGGTTGCTGCCCAGAATACCTCGAACGACAATGGCCCGTTCAATTTCAAAACGGTGACGATGGAAAAGAACCCTGTGGTGAAATCTGTATGTTGAAAATCTATTGGTTATGGAGGGACATTTACTGAGATTTTGCGCAACGGAAATTATAGAACATTGGTCAACGACGCGGACACAAGTACAAACATAGCAGCATTTCGCATCAGATCTTCCTCGAACCTCCTCCTAGAGCACCTCTCGCCTTGCCCAATTCGCTACCGATTCCCACGTTTAAAGAATGCCGGACCAGTATGTCGAGAGACCAGAAGACGCGGTTCTGGTGGAGCGTATGCCATATGTTCGTGGCGGCCTATACACTTTGGAGCGCCGAGGGATCGTTGGCCATGACGGCGTTGTCCCATTTGATTCTATACGATTCACTTGGAGCATTGCTTTGTGTGGTGGTGGATGTATTTGGAAATTTCGAAGTTTGGAGGCGATCTAGTATCCGACATCCTTTTGGGTTGGAACGGGCAGAAGTGCTGGCAGGGTTTGCGATGTGCGTCCTTTTGCTCTTCATGGGAATGGACCTCATTTCACATAATCTTCAGCACTTTCTGGAGTCATCTGGTCATGAACCTCATCATTCTCACCCTCACTCTAGAGTCTCTGTGGGAAGTGTCGACATCACCGCCATTTTGGCGATCTCGTCGACATTGATCTCCGCGATTGGGTTGAAGAATCATGCTCGAATCGGAAAGGCGATGCAGTTCGCTTATATCGACTCCTTACCATCCGTGTTGAGTAACCCGTCGCATTTCCTGACACTTTCCTGCTCCACCCTGCTCCTAATTCTTCCATTGGTGTCCATTAAGTTATACACCTGGCTTGACTCTCTGCTGTCGGGCACGATTGCTATATCGATGTGTGTTATCGGCGTACGCCTCGTGAAGACCCTGGGATCAATGTTGCTCATGTCATACTCCGGCAGAGGCGTACCGGAAGTGATCAAAGATATCGAATCCGACCCATGCGTGTTTGGCATTGACGACGCCAGATTTTGGCAAGTTCATTACGGACTGTGCATGGCTAACCTGGAGCTTCGAGTCGCTGGGTCTGAGGAAAATCTCGTCCGACTTCGTGAAAGGATATCGAGTTTAGTCAGGAACCGCTTGGGTGGAGGGTACGGCATTGGGGGTCAGAAATGGGAAGTATCGCTGCAATTTATTGTAGAACAGATATGATTCTGCCTTTTTCTGGTGGTCTGTTATTGTTTGCTACTATTGTATGCAACATACCTTTTGGACAGTTGATTCTGTATACAACTTGGATGACTTGTGAATATACCTAAACACTTCACTGATGGGTATCCTATGAATGGAAACCTTGATGGCTGGTCAATGTAATTCTGGACATGGTGGCTGGGCATGATGGTATTCACTATCAACATAAGGGCTTGCGGGCACGTATATGAGAAACCCCATCTCCAGTCTGCTATGCAAAATCCGACTACCCCAAAGCCATTCTGTGCTACTGCAAATATGGTCTCCTTCTTCGATCTCCCTCGCTCAATTCGCGAGGAAATCTATCGCCATGCTCTTGTTAAAGCCCGAGTCTTCGTACGGCCCTTCATCTCCATGGAATATATGCTACACCCAGATCGAGCAAAAATATACGATAACCCCAATATCGCTCTCCTCTGTGCCTCCCACCGAATCTACCATGAGGCAAAGCCCATATACCTGGGCGAGAACATCTTCTCCATCGTCCAGGTTGACATGCTGGCCGCGGCGCGTATGGAAAACAGACGAGTCGCGAAGAACCTCCGACAGATTCGCAGATTGGAATTGATATTTGACAATCGAGATTACAAGTATATGGCTGAGTCTCTAGGGACTGAGATACCGACTGTTATGACGGAGGTTGAGGACTGGGCTGATGAATCGTCCGCTAAGAAGGTTGCTATGAGGGATCTGGGCGAGATGCGTGATCACTTCGATGTGTCTTCTGCTATTACCCCCCCTACCTCGAAACTAAGGCGCAAGAGCCGGTTGATTGATACAACTGAGATACGGCAACGAAAGCAGCTTAACCATCATCTACATCAGCACAAGAACGACAACAAAGAGACACCCCACGATCGACTGACCGAGAACCTGAAGAAATATCTCTGGGGACGAACTCTCACCTTCGTCCGCCAGACTTTCCGATTGACCCATCTCTTTATTGATCTACGTCATTGCACCTGTCCCGTAGGCTGCTGTCGTTTAGCGGACCAGGTTCTGGATTGGGGCTGGGTGTATGTCTGGATTCACGGGTTGCCGGACGAGGTCCAAGTGAGAGGATCGTCGAGGTCCGAGAAAGAAGTTATTGCTAGGAGTCTGGATCGCCAATCATTTCACTTTAAATTGAAAATCGATGAGGTTTATGACCAGTCTAGGGCCCAGGATTATCGGGGGTTGATGCAGTATAATGTTCTGCTTAGGAGTGTTTATCGGAAGTTGAATGAGAATATAACTGCAGGGTGATTCATCGTCTAAACATATGGTACCCAGGGCACTTAGTTATAGGATGTAAGCGGATATAATCGTGCGTCTAAACACTACACTGCTCTCTCGTTGATCGTCAAACAATTGGCCATTAACCCTTCCTCTGTTTTGGTATGATACATGCCCAGCAATACAATTGCCAGTCTTTCTCCGAAGGCATTAAAAATAAACAGCAGCCAATGCAGCAAATTATGGCGTCGCAGCTACAGTGCCCTCTTTCTCAATGTTGCTCAGACCCTCACGGTCGTCCCGTCTCCGACGCTTATCAAGGATGGCTTCACGGCGCTGCGCGAGAATCTTGAGCTGACGGCTCTCGACACCCTGAAGCCAGTAACCGAAGCTTCCACCAACACCCGCGAAGACAGGGTAGGCCCAGAGACCCTGTTTGGCGAGAATAGGACGCATTTCGATACCCAGTTGCCAGAGACGGACGGCGATGCCTGCGGGTACCCAATGCGTTAATGACTATAATATACCCTCTCCATAGATATAGAACCTACCGAAGCCGCTCCAGAAGACAATCTTGGAGACCATTGTGCTTTGGGATATGTGAGAGTGGGTTGACGGAGGAGAGGAGTTCGTTCGGTCGGGAGTTTAGGACCAGCAATCAGCGAAATTGCAAGACAAATTCAAGCACCCGCTTTGAGCGAGCGAACAGCAAGCAATAACAAAGAACCCGGGGAAAAAACACTGGCAAAAAAGAGATTCAGCGCTCGTTGAAACAAGCAGACGAGGTACGAGAACGCTTGAGGTTGACCGCCCGCCGTCGAATCACGCATCCGCCGTTCCCAATCCGGAACATTATTGACCCGGAGCAGGAGCGCGGATACATTGCGACTTGCGCGCCGACATTATCTCATCGCAAACATTCACGACACTCTGCGGTCAATTTTCAAAATATATTAGGGCCTCTCGCGATGGCTGGACCAGAGGAGACGCCCGATGTGAAAACGAATGGAATCAAAAGAGCCTCGCCGGAGGTGAACTTCTGGCAGCAGAAAAAGTTCAAAACGGAGGAGTTGCCATTGTCTGCGGCGCAACATACGGCGCTCGAGAATCTGTTGCATTCTTTTAAGAAAAAGGGTGGCTTTGACAACGTACGCAAGAAGATATGGGCTGATTTCGACGGAGGGGTATGTCATATACCTGTTGTTCTTTCCACCACGGGACGAAGTGCTCATCGCGTTTCATGCAGGAACACAAGACGGAGTTTACACAACTACTGGTTGAACTAGCAGACTCGCAGATCGATCAAGAACCAGAGCTTCTATCGCGTGAACGCGGTAAGGCAGCGACGCTGATCGAAGGAGCGGCGGACCGCAACAACGTCTACAAAACCGTGGAAAAATCGATTGAAACGATAGCGACGAATCACATTGATTTCATCCTAAATTCAGTCCGGGAGATCCGTCGCAACGAAATCGGCGAGGAATCCGCGGCACAAGAAGAGCAAAATGGCAATAAAACCGACGAGGAATATGCAGCCGTCATTCAAGCCAAGCGGGACGAGCGCGAAAAGGCTCACCAGGAAGCTATGCGCAAACAAAAAATGATCGATGATGAGAAAAAGAGGATGAAAGATGAGGAGGATCAGAAGAAACGCGAGATTCAGCGCCAGAAGGACGAGGAGGATCGAGTTAGACGGAAAGAGCGGGATGAACAGAGGCGTGCTGAGCGCGAGCGTCTGCGCGAAGAACAACACAAAATTGACGAGCAAAGAGATCGAGGACGAGACGACAGATACGAGCGACGTCGACGAGAAGAGCGCGAGAGATATCGGGATTGGGGCCGCGAGCGCAGTCGCAGTCGCAGCCGGACTAGGGATAGGGAGAAGGATAGAGAACGAGAGCGAGAGCGAGATAGAGACAGAGACCGGAACAGGAATTGGGATAGCTACCGGGCTCGTGACCGCTCCCCAAGCCGTCGTTCTGACCGTGCCGTGTCCGAGCGACCTCGCGATTTGAAGACAAAGTCCACGGACCCGACGCCTGCGCCCCCGCAACCACAACCGCCCGTGGATGAAAAATCACTTGAAGAAGCAGCTCTACAAATGCTGTTGAAAGAAGGTGAAGAGCTTGCAGCGAAAGCTCGACAGAAGCCCGAGTTTGATTTCGAGAAAGCGGAGGCTGTTGAGAACGGCCTGAAAGCCCCTACAACAGAGCAACCTAAATCTGGAAGTCCAGCGCAGGATACAAATACTGAAAGGAGGCGCTCGACAGCAACAGCAACAGCAACCATAGCGGCTGATAACAAGCAATGGGTCCGCAAACGAGAGGGTAGCCGTAGTCGCAGTCGCAGTCGTACCCGCAGACACTCGTCGCGCTATGATAGAGATCTTCGACAAGAGCGATCGCAGGAGGCATCTATCCGACCACGGGACCGTGATGATGGTCGGGCTCCTATCCGTAGGTACGACCGTTATGAGAGTTATCGGCCTGGTCGTCGGAGCCGGAGTCGATCTTCCACAAAAGGTCAAGATCGAGACCGGGACCGGGACCGGGACCGTGTTCGCGATGACCGGTACAGGGATGATTGGGATAGGGATCGAATACGAGATCGGCAACCATCTGAAAGAGATCGAGATTACCGTCATCGGGACCGTAGCCGAGAGAGGGACCGCGAAAGAGAACGAAACCGAGATGATTATCGTCGACGACGTTCCCCTGCTCGAGACCGGGGTCAGGACCGAGGTCGTGACCGTGACAATGAACGACTTCGAGAGAGAAGCCGTGGCCGGGATCGAGACCGTGAACGAGAACGTGAACGAGAAAGACCCCGAGAGAAGGAAAGAGATCGCGAACGTGACCGTGATCGAGAAAAACCTCGAGAAGAGGATCGAGATCGCGAGAGGGAGCGAGACCGGGTGCGGGCACCCTCCCAATCACACGGCCGCGCATCCTCGCGGAAACGGTCACGGTCCCGAGCAGGCCGCCGCTCCCCTAGCGTCCTCGACATCGACCGTTACGTCCCGCCAACAAGCCGTCGAAGTCGATCCCCGCGTCGACGGGTGCGCTCTCCAGACCGACCTGACCGACCTGACCGACCTGACCGACCTGACCGACCTGACCGACCTGACCGACCTGACCGACCTGATCGACCAGAACGGGACGACCGTGGACGAATTGATCGATATATCCCCGGCGGTACTGCTAGCGCAGGCGGGGAACGTGAGAGAGAGCGCGAAAGAGATTGGGAGCCAGAAAAAGCGCGAGATGTTTCGAAAAGGCGGAGTCCGGATTGCAGTCGCTGACGGTAACCCTAATGACTTGTGTACTTGTATTATAATCGTTGGATGTATAATTGAGGGTTTGGTGTATGAACGGGAGGTCTATATACTAATCTCTAATGATGATGATAAACAACGCATTGGCGGGCTATGTTCAAGTACAGATGCTCTATACAATACAATACAGGATGAACTCCAGAAAAATGAATTATGCGAATAGACAATGAAACCCTCATTAGAAGCAAATTATTCTTCCCCATGCCGCCGGTAGGAGTAACCATCAGCATGAGAGCCACTAGGCCTCAAATCTGGCGAGAGCCGTTCAAGAATAGTCTGTTCCAAAGTTTTGATAGACCGTTCATTGCCCCCTAGTTTATTCCAGACGGAAATAAGATGCGAGTTGAAGCGGACAGATGAAGAAATCCCGAGAACATGGTCATGTTCTATTCACGTTAGTCTACACCTGCGCACCACATCCAGATGAGGGGATAAACATACCTTCTTCCAGAGCCGCTTGAAACTCATTCGCCATACATAAAATTACTGCCTCATGGAAAAATGCCAACGCCTTACCCTTTGGCACCCGGAATTGCCAACATCCCCCGTTCCGATTCTCTGGATCCCCAGGTACAGGCTCCACACCCTTTCGGAAAATATGCACGCTGTCTCTTACACGGACTTTATCCCATGGGTAATTGTTGTAGACGCGGTAGAAGGTCGCGATGTCGGCAACGTCTTCGTGAAGGATGTATAGTTTGTTCTTGGTCGAGGGATCGTCAGACTCGGGAGTGTACTTGTCGTACCAAACTGTCCAGTGATATTGAAAGGGTAGAGGACGGAGCTTGCCGAAGATGTTCTGGTGGAGGGACTTGCGTGTGCTTGTTTTGTCCAGGCAATTGTTGTGATGGTCATCTGGGGTTATGGGGGTGGTGTCGTTGAGTTGGAGTTGGGGGACGCTCATTGTCTCTGATTCGGGCGTTTTGAATTTGGCAGAGAATATGAAAAGGGATTGGGGTCGAGATTGCGATTAGGATAATTTGATTCAATATATATTTATATAATATAAGCGTCAGTGTCAATACTATAGATATCTCCCGCTCCCCTGAATATGAATAGAATAAATTTGTACAGCTGAATGAGGGGCCTGCTTAGTGAGCATCTGCAGACTTTCTTACGGCTTGTTTCTGTATTGCGTGGATTAATCAATCTCTCGGACTATCAATCTGTCAATCAATTCGTCTTATTGAAGCCATACTGAAGTACATCGGATGTCGCCGTCGAGCGCGTAGTGCGGGAAGTAGATTGGCCTTGACAGTTGATCATTGCGACACCTCGAGCCGCCGGAAAGAAAGAATTATGATTCGGAGTTGTCTGTCATTGCCATTGAGAATAGATCGAAGCCATTCAGGAGAGGTTGGAGGTTTCAGCGTCTATGCGGTAAGGAGTTGTATGGACTGGGTATGCGCTGCTCCAAAGGATCTCGAGGTGAGATCGGCTAGGTCTGCCATGTTCTCAGTGCCTCCATGGGCGTTGTGAGAAATATAGGCTTGTCTATGAAGAAATCAGAAAGAAGAAATCTCCTGTGTTGTAGAAAAAGTCATATAGTTGTAAATCATAAGGACATGGACCGTTATGGAACCACGGATGACGACGATGATAAACTCTTATCGATTTCATCTTTTCGACTTCTCCATTTTTACCTCCCATTTTGTCACCACGAAAACACCATTACAACGCCGTTATTGAGCATTATTAACGCATTCTTTTTATTATATTTATAATCAACGCATAAAAAAAGAAAGAAAGAAAAAAGAAATAATATGCCCGGCGCCAGCACAAAACGCGCGCGCAGCGACGACGATCAGCAGTTCTCCCCCGACCAATCCGCACCCTCACCTCCCAAGCGTACGCAAACAAGAAAGACGAAGACGCTCGAGTCGCAGAAATCAGAAAAGAATTATCACAGTGACGATGACGACGAGACATCCTCCGACGAGCCAACCTCATCTTCGGGTTCCTCGATAGATTCTTCCGACGATGACGGCGACGATAACGAAGAAGATGAACAGGAAACAAGAGATCAAGAAGAAAGAGATGACAATGGCGCGATTCCATCTATCGCTGCCCGGCAAAAACCTCGGATACACCGCATCGAGAAAGACAATGGTATTATGTCCCGGTTAACGGCGTTTTTACCGCAAATGAAAAGTGCAAATGAGCATTTGGAGCGGGAACTGGCTGCTGGTCGGGGTAAAGAGCTTCAGGTGGATGGTATAGATGAGGAGGTCGAGGGGAGATATATTGAAATGGTACGTTGTATGCCATTTTTTTTATTTTTATTTGACTGTTACTTTACATTGGGAGAAATGCTGATTGTCGCTGCTATAGAACCTAGGCCTGGGTGTTCTAGAAGAAAAACGGTCGGATGATGAGTCGAGTGATGACGAGGATGAGAGTCCTGACAATGAAGAAGCAAAGCAGCAGTCGACAGAGCTCCCTAGCCGGCCAAAAGATCCGAATGTGCTGGGCAAATTGATGGGTGTTAAAAAGGACGAGTCGAAAAAGCCTACGATTGAGGAAATGAACGAGTAAACTGGCTGGCCAGTTGACACCATTATGCATATGGATGATTTGGATGTGTATTGCTTGGATATCTTTTTTTGCATTGCCATATTATATTGAATCTATCCATAGTAGTTATTGCAGTTATTGCATACGCAGATACCGCCGGTTGGTAAATTACAACTATTTTCATCAAGCAATAACCAGCCAAAGCCCAGTAGCAACACCTCTTCCAGACTTTCCCATAACAGTAGAACAACCGTTGTCAAACATATTTCCACAAAAGAAGAAGGGGGAAAAAAAATATTACTTAAATTCATGAGATCTCCTTAACACGGCATGTCCAGCCAGACTCCTGGCTCAACAAGGGTAAACTAAGCTAAATCAGCGTCGGACTCATTTTTTGAAACGGGGGTGACAAAAGACTTACCTTGCGCCGAGACACCAACCCAACTCATTGCCCTTAATCTTCTTAGCAACTTTGACTTCACGCGATAGGGGCATATCGTAGCCTGTGTGCAACAGCCCAAGCATGAAGTTGAGATCCAGACACCACTCAGGACGGCCACGCAATTCTCCAAGAGCACCCTCAACGCCCTCGAATATCTTCCACTTGTCCTCACCGCCACAGACATTCGCGGTAAGTTGGTGGAGTTCGTCTAGTGTGAAAGAGTCGGGCATGCCTAGCGGCTTAGTCCGGTCGTAGAAGTAAGAGAAGATGTACACATCTTCACGAGAGAAAGTCTTCTCGAGAGATGGCTGGTGCACACCGTTGAAGGAACAGGGTGCCAATTTGCAGTCCGCTTCCTTCCGGAGGATCTTCTCCGCCAGAGCGCGGCACTGAGCAGGAGCAGACTGTTCCTTAGGTCCAACCATTTTGACCGTGACCTGCGAACCAAGAGGGTGGTCTGCTTCGTATTTCAATACCACATCACGCTCCATTCCTGGTCCAATGCACGGATTAGAGATCGGCTGCGTCAACCACGATTGGTCTTTGGGACTCTGGGCCAGCTTGGCATCAACAACGGCCTTGTGCATAGATTCACGAGCAGCCATGAGGCCGTAGCCCAGGTGAGAATGCTGGTATAACTCGAATTCCCGTCCCCCAAATTTAAGCGAGTACTTGTGGTCGCCTTCAGCGAGGTGCTCCGGCATGCCACCAGCCTTGCTCTTCGGGAAGGTAGGCTGGAAGACAATCTGAGTGGAGCCACCACCTAGGTCAAAAACCGCAGCGGTAGGCGTTTCATCAGGTCCACCAATTTTCCCAAGAAGATAGTTGGTGGTAATCCAGGCATAGACACCCTCATCCGAACCGTCCATGATTTCAACGCCACCCTTCCCTTTAGAGACCACTGGGAAGGGATAGGCGGTTTCCAAACGAGTTCTAACAGCCTCAAGGATCTTCTCGCTCATTTCAGGCCCAATCATACGCAAGCCAGCTGTAGCCTTCACGGAGACTGGCGAACACGATTTGTACTCGTCGGGAACGTTTTTCATGGCCACGTCCATAAGGGGGTCGAGACTTTTGGCGGCTCCCTCGGCATCCTCCTTGTAAGAGCTCAGACCAGAGCCACCTGGTTTCTTCTCAGTTTGCTCAAAGATTTCATTCTCGAGCTCGGGTGTAGAGCCGCAGTTGTTGAATCGGTAGACGTGAATGCGAGATCCCGTGCTACCGGCATCAATCATGAGCGCATACTGAATCAATGGCTTTGACGAGTCGTAAGGTTTAGAACACTTTCCTGTCAGGGGAACAGTAGAGGGCGATTGTGCTATATGGCCAATTAATCAGATCGAATTCTATATTCCTCTAAATTATGGGGTGCGATTTTACCTTGTCTGAGACCGCTCACAGTGGGTCTGGATGGTGATAGCCAGAACAGCATCAATAACAGGACACCCACAATGGCACCTGTTTTCAGATACCGCGTCCTTTGAGGCTGCACCATGGCTGCCGACAATAAATTAGACGGGATTTCCGGATATTTACTCGATTCGTCTGAATATGTAGTGGCGAACGAATTGAGTCGCGAACTCGAGCGGATGCGAGTGTCTGAATTCGGATTCAAATATGATTCAGCGGCTTGGGAAATTCGACCATCAACCCCCGTCGACATGCGAGCGAAATCGAACGGGTGCTATGTGGGCGTTTCGTCTCCGAGTAACGCCCTAAAACGTGAAGGTTTGGACTGCGTTGGCGAAACGGACTAACGAACGAAATGTAGAAAAACCATTGAATTTCCAAGAAAACTCCGGACCAGCCTAGAACAGAGAAATAAAAGAGAGAGATAGAGAGAGAGAGAATGTGTGTGTGCGTGAATGAAGAAAGAACTGCAAGAAAAGAAAAAAATAAAAAAAAAAAAGGTGCAGAACAAGAGAGTAGGCAGAAAGGTGGCCGTGACGGTTTCAGGAGAGGCGGCGGAAAAGGTCACGGGTCCAGATGTGGCGCGTCGGTCTGGACCCTGTGGCGGTGCTTTATCAATCGTTCGCCGCGGAGGTCCATATTATTATTGTACAGACAGTTCCACTGCGACAATAGGCGGTCTACACGCTCCGATATATGCTACTTTCTTGATTCATAATTCTGAATTGTCACCCGTACTTTTGGTCGCAAGCAATTCATTTTCATCCTGCCTCAACTGCTTCGTCGCGCAAAATGAAGCACATGCGCAATATTTTTTCTACAACACCGACACTCCGTCATTTATTCCTTTTGTCACCATCTCAAACTTCACAAATTGCATTTCTCAATTTGAACCGTATCCAGAGCCAAATATCACCGCGATTACCAGAGCAACTCCGTCGTTACACAAGTCACCAGACAGCGAGACCCGCAGAGCAGAACCAATTCATAGATGAAAGAATCCGGGCAAAATTCGTACAAATTGTGAACGAAGACAACAAACTGGGCCCCCCCGAACATATATTCGATGTCCTGCGATCTATCGAACGTCCCACCTACTTTCTCCAGCAAGTTTCACCGAGTATCGATGGTCAACCACCTATTTGCAAGATTGTGAACCGCGTAACAGTGAGGGAACATGAAAAGGCTAAAGCAAAGGCTGCCAATGCTGCTAAAGCATCATTGAAGCAGGTGGAATTGAACTGGGCTATTGATGCGCATGATCTGTCCCATCGCTTGAAACAGTTGAGGAGCTTTCTACTGAAAGGTCGGAAAGTGGAGATTTTCATGAAGAGGAAAAAGGGGAAGCGGGCGCCTACAGTGGAGGAGATCAAGCATCTTATGGACAGTGTGGCAGAAGCAGTCAAGAGCGTTGGTGCTGCGCAGGTTAAGCCCTCGTTTGGGGAGCCAGGGAAACAAGTTACATGGGTGGTGGAAAAGAGGATTAATTAGATTGGCCTGGATGCTTTTCCACAACCCACCCAGATTATTATGTATATTATGGATGAAGAACTCTAACGTGTATTATATGAGGCCCCATGTGCTTTAGCATGCTTCTATGGTATCGGAAACACGGCGTTTGGTCCGGCTCGGGGTAGTGGTCACAAAACAACTCAGTCCGGATATCTCTCTACTGTGCAGAGTAAACTTCCGGAATTGTCTATCAATTGACTTCGACTATCAGAAATCCATTCCTATTAGATAACCTGCCGACTTCAATTGCAGCGCACATAGCATGTTTGGATCTTTTTGTACTCCGCAATCCGCCATTTCTGATTGGCCCAATGCTGACTAAGAACTTCCTAAAATTTGTTCCGCATCCTCGCATCTCGACCTCTTTTGTCCAGCCCTCGTTATTCTTCCCATCACGTTTCCTTGTGCTGTTGTGTTTGTGATTACATTGCCGGGTTGTCAGGATGTCCAACATCACCAGAACCGCCAACCTTCTGCTGCGCACCAGTCGGTCTTCGCTGCTCCGGCCGCGTGCTGCTAACCCGGTCCACCATGTTTTCACCAAGGACCGACTGGTTACCCGTGGAATGGCAACCGCTTTCGAGCGTACCAAGCCTCATGTTAACATCGGTAAGCTGTCATTTCTTGATTTTGCATGGCATTGATGATAGTTAATGAATTCTATGATAGGTACCATTGGTCACGTCGACCACGGAAAGGTTAGCTCTATATCACTTCCCACCACTTTTCCCACCCACCTACGAAGGATTATCGACTTACAAGACACTCTGGGTAGACTACCTTGACCGCCGCTATTACCAAGTACCAGGCCTCGAAGGGTCTTGCCAACTTCCTCGAGTATGGTGCCATTGACAAGGCCCCTGAAGAGCGCAAGCGTGGTATCACTATTTCCACCGCTCACATCGAGTTCTCGACCAACGACCGTCACTATGCCCACGTCGACTGCCCTGGTCACGCCGATTACATTAAGAACATGATTACTGGTGCCGCCAACATGGATGGTGCCATTGTTGTCGTTGCTGCTTCGGATGGCCAAATGTATGTCTTGAATCTGTGATGCCTTCATACTTGTGTGAATGGTTTGCTGACTGCTTCTCTTGAACAGGCCCCAGACCCGTGAGCACTTGCTACTTGCCCGTCAGGTCGGTGTCCAGAAAATCGTCGTGTTCGTTAACAAGGTCGACGCCGTCGAGGACCCCGAGATGTTGGAGCTCGTCGAGCTGGAGATGCGTGAGCTTCTCAGTAGCTACGGATTCGAGGGTGAAGAGACCCCCATCATCTTCGGATCTGCGCTCTGTGCTCTCGAGGGCCGCCGTCCTGAGATTGGTACCGAGCGGATCGACCAGCTTCTCGAGTCTGTTGATACCTGGATCCCTACTCCTCAGCGTGACCTCGACAAGCCTTTCTTGATGTCCGTCGAGGAAGTCTTCTCTATTCCCGGTCGTGGTACTGTCGCCTCTGGCCGTGTCGAGCGTGGTCAGCTGAAGCGTGACCAGGAAGTCGAGATCGTCGGTGCATCCGCCACCCCCATCAAGACCAAGGTCACCGACATTGAGACCTTCAAGAAGACCTGCAACGAGTCCCGTGCTGGTGACAACTCTGGTCTCCTTCTCCGTGGTATCCGCCGTGAGGACGTCCGCCGTGGTATGGTCATTGCCGCGCCCGCTAGCACCAAGGCCAACGACAAGTTCTTGGTCTCTATGTACGTCCTGACCGAGGCTGAGGGTGGTCGTCGTACTGGATTCGGCGCCAACTACCGCCCCCAGCTCTTCCTCCGTACTGCTGGTAAGTTTCCTTTATATGATTGCCCTACATTCTCGGTGTGATATTGGGTAGCTGACAAACCGCTTAGACGAGGCTGCCGACCTGAGCTTCCCCGGTGAGGACCAGTCCGGGCGGGTCATGCCTGGTGACAACGTCGAGATGATTCTCAAGACTCACCGTCCCGTTGCTGCTGAGGCTGGTCAGCGCTTCAACATCCGTGAGGGTGGCCGTACTGTTGCCACTGGTCTGATCACCCGTATTGTGGAGAAATAAACAGCAACGCCGTTTTACCTTGGAGTTGGCTGGTCTTTCTTTTTATTACGATTAAAAAAATACCTCCTTTTTTCAATTTGTTGACACTTTCTTGCAACGCGGGAATCCGGGGGAACGTGATGCACCGGAGTTCAGTGAATTATGCCCTTGTAACTGTACTATATTAAGCTAGATGACTTTTTCCTTTTCATTCTTCTCCTCTCTTGGATATCGAGATTCTTTATTTGACACGAATTCAATGATATATAATGAGGGTGACCCGGTTATAAGCAATAAACACCAACGGAGTAATGTTTGATACCTAAGGCATAAAGACTTACCCATACCCGATCGGTGCCTGATGTCTCGGGCAGAAAACCAAATAGTCGCCGGGACCACGATCCCCAGCCCGAGTCCTCCCTGTTGAGTCCAGCCACTTCCATCTACCGCAACGTGACTTCGGCCCAATCGCACAAGAGACCGTCCTTGTGATCTTTTCCCTATTTTATATTTGATTAATTGTGGGCAGTTCAGGCCGAGGTCCTTTTGTCTACTAGCTTCTGTGAACACTTCATACATCATCATTGTCCTCTCCGCATTCTATCCTCTCCTGATATCTGTTGATCCGCAAAGAAGCCACCCCTTCGTTCTCCGCGATCCTCACATAACGCCTGGTTGTGAGATTCCTACTCTGTACACCATTCCACCTAAACAATTAGACTGAGGAAAAAAGTACCGTCCGATCAACATTCTTCGGTCTCGGGCCGCAGTTCGGCAGCGCAGCCCATCATGGATTCCAATGGGCATCTCGCATCGGTTGGCAGCGCCAGTGATAAAGCTGCTTACGAGCATGGTGTTCAAGTGATTGACGAGAACAAGGAGTTCAAGTACGTCTTTTTTTTTTTTTTTTTTTTTTTTTTTTCTCTCTACACGCCATTGTTTGCTTGTCTATTAGACGTTTGTGTTTCCAAGGACACTACCCCACCCCCCATTAGATGTCTAGCATAGTTAACAGAAATAACTCCACTTAGTCCAAATCTTTCCACATATCTGAGCGTCGAAAATGTGACCCCCGCTGGTTTCAACTACCATCTTGTCTCCGTGTTCGGATCCCAGTCGACCGGCAAGTCCACGCTCCTCAACCACCTCTTTGGTACGCAGTTTTCTGTCATGTCCGAGTTGGAAAGACGGCAAACGACCAAGGGTATCTGGCTATCGAATAACAAGAAGGTCTCTGAGTCGCCCGGGGATGCAAACGAGAGAATGGCCGATAACATCCTTGTCATGGACGTTGAGGGAACGGACGGCCGTGAGAGAGGCGAGGACCAGGACTTTGAACGCAAGAGCGCTCTTTTTGCGCTGGCGACGAGTGAGGTCCTTATTGTTAACATCTGGGAACACCAAGTCGGTTTGTATCAGGGTGCCAACATGGGACTGCTGAAGACTGTCTTCGAGGTCAACTTACAGCTGTTCTTGAAGGATAGGAGGTACGTTGTTTATTCTTGGTCTAAGCCCGCTGCTCTAGATCTCAGTGTTGATTGCGGACTTTAGTACAACCCATCGATCGCTTCTGTTTTTCGTCATCCGTGATTTCGTCGGAACCACTCCCCTCAAGAACCTTCAAAAGACGTTGACGGAGGACATTTCCCGTCTGTGGGACTCCATATCCAAACCCACTGGCCTTGAGAACTCGAGCGTTCACGATTATTTCGACTTCCAGTTCTATGGGCTTCCCCACAAGGCTTACCAGCCCGATAAGTTTGTAGAGGAAACGAACAAGCTCAGCCTGCGTTTCCGTGAAGGACAGAAAGATCTGAACTTGGATCCGCTTAAAGGCGAATTCTCCGAGGGAGGTGTCTTCCTTCCCGAATACCATCGTCGGATCCCTGCAGATGGAGTTTCGAAATATGCTGAAGGTATCTGGGATCAGATCGTCAACAACAAAGACCTGGATCTGCCGACACAACAGGAACTTCTCGCGCAGTTCCGTTGTGACGAAATCTTGAGGGAAGTGATGGTGGCCTTTGACCAGGCAGTTGTCCCCTTCGAAGACAAGCAGGCACAAGCGGCTCGTCTGGGAGAAGCGGAGATTCTCGGTGGCTTGGGAGCGGCGATGCGAGCTTCACGAACAAAAGCCGTCGACGCTTTCGAGATTGAAGCTAGCCGTTACCACAAGGGTGTTTATCAGCGAAAGCGGGCGGAGCTGGAAGGAAAGGTCGACACCCGTCTGAAGGCCCTGTTCTACGGTCAACTTAGTGCAACGCACAAGTCTGGTACCAACGACTTCACCGAGGCTGTTACAGGAGCAGTGAAGGCGGGCCAGAAACGAGGCACTGGTTACGACTTTGCCGAGATCGTGAAGCAGGAGACAAAGGTTGCGCTGGAGAAGTTCCAGGAGGTCGCTCGCTCCACCGTGGTTGAAGGGCTCGAGTGGAGTAACTACGAAAACGAATTGGCATTGTATGAGAAGGAGCTGGCAGAAGTTAGCTCACGACTGAGAAAGGATGAAATGAGGCGTCTGGCAAGTCGGATTGAGCGGTGGGTGCAGTCGCGTTTAGGTGAGTCTGTCGGGCTTGAATTCAATGCTTTGGGGTCTGGACGAGCAGGCGGTGGGGCTCCCGAGGTAGGAGACAAACAAACCGAAAAGGCCTTCTGGGACCGAATCTGGAATATCTTCAGCGAGACGGTCATCGATGCGGAGAAGAAATTCACGGATCGTGCCAGTAGCTTCGACGCGAGCCTGGAGGAAGTAGACGTTGGTCTATGGAGACTGCGGAGAAAGTCCTGGGGTGTTTTGCGGACGAAGATCGACGAGGAGATGATCGAGGGCAACCTGCTGCTTAAGTTGCGTGAGAACTTTGAGGACAAGTTCCGCTATGACGATGCCGGTGTGCCTCGAATCTGGCGTCCGACCGATGACATTGAAGGCGTATATACTCGTGCTCGCGAGTCTACCCTAACTCTGATCCCGTTCCTATCTCGATTCCGTTTGGCAGACACATCTGCCCCGCCACCATTGGACCGCTGGGTTGGGCACACTCCCAACTCTGCGACGCCAGCCGATGAGGAAGACCTTGTCCCGATTGGCGGTGTAGATGAAGAGGAAGGCAAGAGCTTGGAGGAGGAGACGACCATTCTCAGTGACGCCAAACGACAGGATCTCACAGTGCGGTTTAAGAAGGCAGCAGATGGAGTGTATGTGGAAGCCAAGCGGAGCGCCATCGGTGGCATGACCCAGGTTCCTCTGTACTTTTATGGTATTCTCCTTGCTCTTGGTTGGAACGAAATCATTGCTGGTAAGTTTGCTCTGCTCCCTACTGTGCCCGATAAAGATATGGGAAGACAATGTGCTGACTTGCATTAGTCCTCCGGAACCCCGCCTACTTTGTCCTCTTGTTTGTTTGTGCCATTGCTGGGTACGTGACGTATCAACTCAATCTATGGGGCCCAATTATGAAGATGACTGAGGCGGCGTCCGGCCAGGCGATGCAGGAAGGCAAGCGCCGTCTGCGCGACTTCCTCGAGTCGTCCGATACGGGCAGACAGGCCATTGCCATGTCGGGTTCCGGTACGGAGAGTTCTCGGGAGGAGTACGAGATGTCGAACCTTAAGAAGGAGACCTCGTCGAAGGAAGCAGAGGATGACCTGTAAGCGAGAGCAGTTCCTTGTATAGGAACTGGTGTTGTGATTCTACACTGTTTAGCGTATATCTGTATGTACTTAGAATGGACGCTGGTTGTACGCAGTCGTTTGTTTTCTTTCCTATAGTTATGGTTGCGGGGTTGGGCGGGACTTGTTCCGATGTCATCATCATATTTCCACTCGCTTTGTCATTGATTAACACTTCACACTCTTGTTGCATTGTTTTCTGTACTATTGTTCCTACCTCTCATTGATTCAAGGTCTCACATTCAATTGGTCAAGTTCTCTTCTTGCAGCAATTCCCGATAGCCCCTCTCCCGCCTTAAACAGATCGACGATGCCATGTCAGGAACGCTGCCAGAGAGATTCGATGACCTCCCAGACAAGCGACGATTCTGGCCAGCACCAGCAGGAACTCAAGATGAAGGGTTGGGGATGCTCCGTATTCTCACGCCGGACGTTGTGGCAGATGCAGCTCGTACACAGATTCAGACGGGGGAGCGAGTGTGTTTGAATTGGGCTCTTGAGGAGTTGAACCCGCCAGGTATCTGCTTTTTACGTTTTCCTTCCAATGCGAACGGTAATTGAAATATCAACAGGATTCGGCCGTAAACGCTTCGAACATCACATCAAATGGGTCGCCCCCGACAACGCCTTCGACGATGAATACCACTTCAACCCCCAACAATCCTCCCAATGGGATGGTCTCCGGCACCACAATGCCCCAGCACCCGACGGACAGACAAAAGTATTCTACGGCGGCACAACGGCAGCGGAAATCCAAGACACCAATAACTCACGTATCGGAATCGGACACTGGGCGAAGAAAGGCATCGCAGGCCGGGGCGTCCTAATTGACTACCTCTCCTGGGCAGAGAAAAACGGAATCAGTGTCAACGCTCTTGAACAACACACCGTTTTCCTCGACGATGTGCTGGCAATCGCCCGCGAATGCAACATCAGCTTCCAAAGAGGCGACATCTTCTTCCTCCGCGTCGGCCTAACGAAGACCTGGGAGAAGATGAACGATGACGAGAAAATGGCCTACAGTCTCCAGCGCACTCCCAAGCACGCGGGTATTGAACAGAGTGAGCGTGTGCTGCGATTTGTATGGGATAACCACTTTGCAGCTGTTGCTTCGGATGCGGTTAGTTTTGAGGTTTTCCCGCCGCTGCAACCGGAGTTCGATCTTCATCATCATCTATTGGCCGGTTGGGGACTACCAATTGGGGAAATGTTTGACTTGGAGGAGTTGGCGGGGATCTGTAAGACGTTGGGGAGGTGGACTTTCTTTGTGTCGAGTAGTCCGTTAAATTGTGCGAATGGGGTGTCGAGTCCGCCGAATTGTATGGCTATTTTTTAAATGTGAGGAAGTTGTACGGAGTAGTCAGGTTTATAGTGTTGAGGTGAATTTAACGAGTCATGCTGGCATGGATGGTTGAGGCTTCTGCTGTTATAGGTTTCCTTCGAATCTTGGATTCCGGAATAGATACGAGACTCATAAACCCATTCTGCAAATGCCACCCAGTTCTAGAGATAAACGTGTCAATTCTGAGCTATCCATACAGACTGGAGGGATTGTCTGTACCTAGAACGATTTCAAAACGTCCACGAGAGTGCAGATACTCGGTCCAGAACACTCGCTGATTCAAGGAGTATACTCTTCCAGTCTTGCCACTACCCACGATAGTAATACATTGCCATTTAATCCTGAAGATGCAAGGGAAAAGGCTCTGCGCAGAGCCTTCGAGTTTTCTAGTACTATTAATGAAGCCCAACGCCAGGAATTTGCAGGGCCAAATTCGATGAAGACAGATGAGATATTTCATGACGTCTTGGATGCTCTCTTTTGTCGCTCGACCGACTCTGATATGTGTGGGTCATATTCCCAGGGATGCTTTTCGGCCGCTTGCAAAGGAGCTTCATGAAGGAGAGTCTCTTTATCATCCTAGCATGCCTCAAGAGGAGCTTCGTACGGTTGTGAATTTGCTCATATTTACTTATTTTGGGTCATCAACTGTTCTATTTAAACAGCTTTCCGATTTGGGCCATGCTGTAAACTGCATTGTCAGAGCATTCATTCAAATATAAGATGTTAGAATCACTTGGAACATGTTTGATCAGGCTCTTAGCAAGGCAACAGTATTTATATTTCTCTATCCCAATCCATGAATAGTTATATGTGGGCCAACTGAGTCAGCCAGAGCTATTTACCTGGCCTTCGCCGTTTTCTATCCCAGTGTTATCAACCTTCCGATGCACGGAACATCGCCGGACGTCTTTCTTAGCAGAGGAAAATAGCCTCTCCACCTGTCTTTGCTCAACTGGGCTCGATTTTCTCCTACTATATCGCCTTCAAGGACCTCAAGCTCCATAAATTTTTAGGATGTCTCGACAATTTCCATCACTGCTTCTGCTCTCGCGGACCAAATCACCACGATTGTGAATGATCCTGTGATTGATTTGATCTCAGGTAAAATCACCAACACAGACGAGGGGGCCATTTTCGGATACTACCATCCGTTATCTGACCTAGATGCCTCATGCGTTCTCTTTGAACTCAGCCCCATCCACGAAACGTTTAGTAGGAGTGACAGCAACCTGCTAGGAGGAATAACTGATAGAAATGACCATCTGGTCTTTAGGAAAAAGGAAAATTGGTTGTCTTCGTCCTGCACAGCAATATTAGACAGTTGCAAGTGCCGCATAGAGTCTCTGGACAGAATGGGCCAATGTGCAGCGTAATTGAATGAAGAGGGAATTGGAAGGCGAATGTAGAAGTAGAAGAGTTCGAGATATGGACCGAAGTTGAGCCATGATGTTATCATTTATTATACCTTTAAGTATCAATAATTACTCATCTGGACACAGTCACAGTAGGTCTACTTTCTAGGCAAAAACTGCCACGGGCTGCGGTTAAACTTATCGAATAAGTCTACTCTACTAGCTCTCCAAGAGCTTCGACGAGCCCACAACTCGCATTGCTAGAGTACTGCATATTATACAGCTGGCGCTTTTTTCCTTCCTTGAACCAGATCCATTTCAACTGGCCGGTGGCGTTTCCAACCATGCATAACAATGAGAATTTGCAATCTGTCGCGAGGATCGAAATGATGATGTTGAGAGTCAAGCCTTGGGGGAAACTGGGCATTGCTTTCTGGTCGTATACTAGCATCACGCAAAGTAAATAAATGAAGCAGAGCGTGCCAAAACCAATGGAGACCATTTCCCAGAACCACGTATCCAGATTGGGTGCTATGATTCCTTCTTTTGTCCAGTCACTTCGCGGCTGTTCTGGAAACCAGGTTTATGGCCCTTCATGTTTTTAATATGAAATCCTTCCGATATCTTCAGGTTCGCCATATCTTCAACATAAAATGATAGTATCTCCAGAATATCACATCTAGGAGAACCCTGAAATAGGCGACCACACACAATCACCGCTGGTCAACAACGAGGCTGAGAATTTCACTACTCCCTGCATATCTGTGCTTATCTATAGTTTCGCATGGATTGAGGTGAATTACTGGTAAGTATGAGTGAGAGAACAGCGATGGGAGGAAGCCTTATTGATGGTTTGTCGTTGATACTTTCGGTACCTGATATTATAGCTTAATAGTTATTCTTATATTATTACTCCGTGCTACTCATCGTCCTATAGCTCCCTTCAAGGAAGCGTGGGGTTGAACTACCGGTCAGTTCCCCATTCTGTTATTAGGCTGAGCGGACGGGAAGCCCTGTTTTCCAAACTCTTTAAGGTTAGCTTGCTGATTAAGTAAAAATATATTGCTTCGTTCGGAATGAAGTTGAACAAAGTGATAAAGTCTAGTTCACAGGGCCGAAGAATTGTAATAATTATCAGGACACTGTCTGGGACTAATCACGCCTCTGATGCTCTGTATAATGTTTGCAGAGTCTAATTACATATGATAAATGCGCATCGGTATCATATAAACCTCAGTCCCGCCGACAGGTCACCATATCGGGCGAAATACATGTCAGAGAAATAGTTCGTGCGAGATATCCACGGTCTCTGTTCAGTCGCCTTGGGCAGTGACCCTTGAGCGTGCATCAAGTATGTCGAGTTGAGATCTAGCAATGGCCGGCTGACCATCTGACCCGACTCTGACAAGACGGGCACAGCAGCCTTATGACCATTGCGCTCCAAATATTTCAACACTCTACATGTCAGATACATACCCGCATCGGCACCGAGCGTCCACGAAGCGTTGACATACCCAAGCAGTAACGCAGCATTGGGTAGATCTTGCATCATCAGGCCATTCCATGCATATTTTTGTGATAGATCTAACATTTTCCCGTCGATGTAGATAGGAATGCCGCCACAGACTTGAACTTTTAGTCCAGTGGCGGTCACGATCGAGTCAGCTTCTAGTCGTTGGCCGGACGTCAATTGAATTCCTCGTTCGTCGACCGTCTTGATTGTTCCGGTCTCAATGGTGGCTTTTCTGGACCCAAGGGCTTTGAAGAAGTCGCCGTCGGGACAGACACATAATCGTTGATCCCAGGGATTGTACCGGGGTTTGAAGTGTGGATCCAATGGCACACCCAGTGGAAGGTGTTTCAGCATACCTCTCTCGAGGAGAGACCTTGCTATCTGCGGAAAGGTGCGACAGAATCTGAACAGCACCTGCGAAAAGACAAGGCGCCACATTCGGCGAAGGTAATAGACGCATGACTGGGGCAAGAGCCGTGTCCACCATTTGTTCTGGACAGGATTAGAGGCAGCGATAATGTATGCCGGGCTGCGCTGGAGCATTGTCACGGATTCTGCTCTTTCAGCTAACTTTGGGACCAAAGTTATGGCTGTAGCCCCGCTTCCGATCACTGTGATTTTCTTGTCTGTGTAGTCAAACTTCCCTGGCCAGAATTGCGGGTGGATGACCTGCCCCTGGAAGTTTTCGAGGCCGGGAATCTCAGTCGCAAGGGGTTGTTGGTAGTCATAATAGCCGGTTGCGAAAATGAGGAAGCGACTACTGAACTGAAGATTTTCATCCTTAGTTTGGACCTTGACAGCCCACGAGTTCTGATACCATTCCAGGGAGAAAACGCGGTGGTTGAAAAGAATCCGATCCTTGAGGCGATGGCTGGTTACCGCGTCGTCGAGATACTCCAGAATGTCTCCACCCTCGGCAATAGGATTTGATCGATTCCATTTGTGCCAGGTGAATCCGAATGTATAGAGGTCCGAGTCAGATCGAATGCCAGGATACCGGAAGAGGTCCCAGGTACCGCCAATGTTGTCTCGAGCCTCTAGGATAGCAAAACGACAGTGTGGGAACTCGGTTTGTAAGTGATATGCGGCATTGATACCAGAGATACCTGACCCAATGATGAGGACGTCAAATGGTGTTGTTGCCGTGCCGGTTATGTGAATCTTGCTCATTGTCGGGAAGACACAAGAATATCAGTTGCAATTGTCCATGTCATCCAATGTGAGGAGCGTGGTGACTGTTTATAACTTTCGTCCCCTGGGCCGCTACTTTGCACTATAGTTCCATTCCATTGCACCCATGTTCTGAAGGTACTGCCCAAAAGGGGGGATAGGCGACTATTCCTAATCCCATAATCTCACAAAATCTATCAGGCCGATGGGTTTGAGGCTATGGGGTGATTATCGCAAGGTGATTGGCCTCGCGGAGTCTTTTTACTCAAACAGGCTAAAGCTCACCGACACTAGACTGATGGCAAAGTCGGTGGAGAAACCGAGAGTCAATGGTAGTAGCGAGCTGGTGGTGCCTTTTTTCCCAATGCGGACAAAACCCTCCGCTGCGAACTGTTCCGCATACCCCGCACCTGGTACTCCTTCGCAAACAAACCCTCATAGAGAAGTGCGAGCTTGCGTACTTTACCATGCCCGTATGTAGACCGATACATGGTGGCTCAAACTAGTTCATGAATTTTAAGGCTTCCAGCTATAAAAGGTATTCCGACGTCAACAAGAAGAGGGAAGCTAGAGTGTGTATCAGACAGCAAAACTCAACCACGAAACCACCATGTTAGCACAAGATTTATCACAGTTGGCGTTGGGCACAGCACATTCAGTGCTCGCGAAGCTTCCTCCATCTGTGCGGCGAGCACTGTTGAACTCGTACGTTCAAAAAGCTCTGGGGGTGTTAGTGGCGCTGCGACTTGTCAAGGGGTTGAATAGCTATCTATCAAAGCGAGCACAGAACAACGGGCAGAGAATCAACAAATGGGTTCCACAAAAGGAGCTGGTCGTCCTCACTGGAGGATGCAGCGGCATTGGAAAACAAATCATGGAGGATCTATCTCGTATGAATGTCAAAACAATCATCCTGGATCTGAACGAGCCAAGCTTCTCTTTACGTGAGTTGCCTATGTGCTGTGGCCTGTTATGAAAAGCTGATAATCTGAAAAGCTCCAAATGTCTTCTTTCATGCCGCCGATATCACCTCCCGCGCAGTCGTGAAAGATGTGGCAGGGCAGATCAGAAAAGACCACGGCTATCCTACCATTCTGATCAACAATGCAGGCGTCGGGTTTCCAGGAACCATATTGGACGAGCCGGATGAAAAGATCCGCTTGACTATGGAAGTCAACACTTTATCGCACTTCTGGACCGTTAAAGAGTTTTTGCCAAGCATGATCCAACAGGATCATGGTCACATAGTCACGTTGGCTAGTATGGCCAGTTTCGTCAGTTTTGGAGAGACCGTGGGCTATGCATGCTCCAAAGCCTCGGCTTTGGCCTTTCATGAGGGCCTGACTCAGGAGATAAGGCACTGGCACGGTTCGAAGAGGGTCCGAACAAGGTAAGTTACCCGAGTGTACCCTGAACAATAATCCCATCCACGCTAACAGGTCATGTCCTCGAGTATCATCCATCCCTCGTGGGTCCGTACTCCCATGATTGACGCCATCCTGAAGGCCGGAAAACATTGGACTCAGCCGGTTATGGGTCCCGAGGAAGTTTCATCTGCTGTTATCAAACAACTCGTCTCAGGAAACGGAGGGCAAGTTGTGGTGCCCAGCTCTCATGGTCTAGCATCGTTGGTGAGAGGGTTACCGAACTGGCTCCAAGAAAAGGTACGCGATAATGCCTCCAAGCATTTTGTCAAGCTTCGGAAACTTGAGAGGCAAATTGGTCTATGAATAGTTGGTGTGAAATTGGTAGGTTCCAGCGGATGTAAACTGTGGCGAAACAAGGCCACCGTCCGAGCTTGAGCATGAGTGACACCCAACCACTCGATTTCCAGTCAGAAGTTATATGTATGTACACTTTTACAGGCGGTGATAGCGCAGATAGTCATTGCTATTATGTTGATCTTTTATTTGATATGGACACATATCAGCTATCATTTGTTAAGCCGGTTCTGAAGATGGTAGGCAGGAGATACTTTCAAGATCGGCCATTCAGAGGACTCAGCTAGCCGTGAAGTTGGAAATATTGTGCATATAGCAGTAGGATCAAGCCACGATTGGTCATGGCAGGGGCACAAATTTGGGCCCATTGTCAATCAGGTCAAACAGAAATCCGTTGAACCCAGATTGTTTCCGCTCCCAGAAGAATTGATGGAAGATGAGGATGGTATTGAGACATGCCGTACGCACTCGAAGCCTAGTGGAACTTTTCCATACTTCTAAAGGAGAACATGGAACTTCCAATAAGGCCAGGAATAACGGCAGCACAACATTCTGGAGAGTGGCTTCGTTTCCTTGAGCGGCAAAGAAGTTGTTTCTCTCGGTAAGAATGTCGTTCGCAAGCAACACAGCAGTGTTGTCGTGACATGTTAACGGATGACGCAGGCGATGGATGAGGAGTAGGCTTGCGGTTCTATACATGATCGCCTGGGTTCGTATCGAGGCGACTTCTATGGCGCTAAAACCTCTTGATTGGAGACATTCGTAGTCTGGAGTCCACTGGCGCACACTTTTCTCTATAATATTTAACTGGTTTGTTTGTTTCGGGTCACCGCGCAAGTTATGGCCGATGACGCACAGGTCGTAGAGGATCGGTAAGACTGATGGACAGAGACCGGCCAAACGGTCAATCACTGATGGATCACGCGCTCCCGGCTGAATGATGGGTATTTCTCGATAGATAAGGCAACAGGCTATGTCCCAGAAAATTGGGCTTATTGTTACGGGGTCGAGGAATTGAACTTGCTCGAAACTTGAGTACCATGGCTTCATTAGCGACAGGGAATATCGGAGAATGGACGTGGCGCCCCTGGAGGTGAGAAAAGCATCAAATGCCGCCAATGCCTGGCCCAGCATGAGAATAGCCAAGGCATCCTGAGCATGGGTGACTTCGGCAGTGCGGAGCTTCTGGAGGGATCGGGCGCCCCGTTCCATGTCCACTCTTTCGGAGGTGGTACGATTGAAGCGTGCCCAACCGATAAAGGTATCCATGGCAATAAACATTTCGTGCAAGAGCCAGGGAGAATTCCGATGGCAGTAGTGTATCGCTCGGTGGAAGTCCTTTGCAAAGGTCGATCCAAACATCCAAATATCTAATGCCGCATAGAAGCCTTCATCATTGGTGCAAGGAATACGTTGAGACACTGCTCCCAAAGTGCTTGGTGATATCATTTCAGCAAGACCAGGTTGCTGAGCTGATTGAGCCCTCTCGAAGCCTCGATTGGCGTCCCATATATCAAAGATACCTTTAGTAGTGTTCGAGGGTCCGGGGTTTGGAGGTCGCCCAACCCGCTTTTGGCGTCGTGTCCTGGTGCATTGGGTGGACGACCGCTGGCAGAGGAGGCACTGAGAAGAACCGGAATCTACTTGGCATTTTCTTTTTCTCTTGAAACATTCATCACAAGCAGTTAATGAAGACATGATGGCTTTTGTTGAGTAGAAACACAAGTGGCCACAAATGATAATAAAGAAAGTTGAGAGGTGGCGGGAAATCACATGCTCATTTTGCTATCAATCTATGATCTTGGCCAGTCCTGGAACGTAATAGCTCTCGTGGTTATTAAATATACTCTGGGATATTATACAAGATAGTCCTCAGTCCCTAAAAAGTTTTTTTTGCGACTGATGAGCAACATCCGCGGCTCCGCCCTTGTGCTGTCCTTACCTACAAGAGGAAGAGTCGAAATATATAAGTTCTTGTTAGTTTGCTCACTTTGGCATGAAACCTTGCATTTGCCAAACTAGCTCTTCAAAATGCTCCAGCTTCACCTTGTAAATCCTGAAATCTTTCTGGAACCACACTTCCGGGAACGTCCGACAATCTCTCGAACGACAAGGCCAGATCCGTGGTGGGAAAGGATTTCCCATAATCAGACCCGTTATGATAAGAATGAGAAATACTGTTCACCAATAATGACCGTCTCACCATTCAAACGCGAGATTTCGATGGCAGCAGCCCTCCGCATGGAGGGGATTGTGCTAATTGTTGTCCCAAGTTCTAATATAGTGGATTAGGAGTCTAGGACTCTGGCCTCATCCCTGTTGATATCAATTGTAACAACCATTTGAATGGAGGTCCCGAATGTCTCCAGCCAGCCTTTTGTGGTGCTAGAAAGTTCCTCAGGGGGCTCTGATAGCCCAACTTCTAGAACAAGGCTGGGATTCTTCCCTGCCGGGCTCCAACAGCAATCTGCCACCTGTGCCAGTCGTCAATCGAAATGTTTGGCGAGGTCAAGGTACCCATCTCATATTTTGGACCCATCAGAGATGACTGTGTTCCGATGCTGCCCCGAAAAGCCCCAACAGCAGCATCACGGTCTATCCCTGGGATGGTTTTGGCGATGAGTATACATGTCTTCTGGTGATAAGACAATAGGGCCGGCAATTTAATTGCTTCATTAGCCAACCGAGAAAATTCAGCCTCTGGAACGGATCTCACGATCAGGACTGTTCTCGAGTCCTGTCAGCATGGCGAGTCTGCTGTTGAGTTTTGACAAGTTGGAAGAAGGCTGTATAATCGGTAAATGTATGCTGCATGTTTATTTTGCTCACTATCTGCTCGAAAAAAATCTTCGAAAGGTTCGATATCCTGAGTTCCGAGCTCAGGGCCCTTAAAGAGTAAAGTCCATGGTTTGATGCTGAGAATTTGCGGAAATATAATTGAGAGTTTGCTGGCGGCTAATTCCTAGGCTCCAGTTGATATGTGATGCGCATGTCATTTAAACATTGATCATTCAGTTGTAAAAGCTAAGGTTATAATAGCTACCTGGCCCATGATAAGTCTCCTTCTCGGGCTCTCTTCTATCTCTCCTCATAACCACCTACAACCAACTTCCGTTTTCATACTCCTGCCAATATGGTCCGCGTTATTAACCTTGCTGTCCCAACAAAGAATGATATTTACCCAGTCTTCAAAAATAACCACTACCTACGCTATTTACGGATATATTGATCTAAAAATTTACCAACTGTCCTACAAGTTTCTCTTATGGATAAGGGACATTGCTATTTATCGCTTGTAAGTATATACCTTGTATGAACCAGAAATAATTCCTATAGGTACCAAGCTGGTCCCAGCCATAGGCTCATAAAATCTTAAGAAACAACTTTTCAGCTTTTAAAATGTTTGATGTTTGTTATAAGGAGGTGAATATGGTAAATTTGGTAGGATTTGTGTTGCTGAAAGTTATGCTAGAAATCGAAGGCCCTCTTTATATGCTTTCAAACTCTCATGCTCTGAACTTGATTGCAGCATCAATATATATCTATCCTTCGAATACTCTTCAAATTAAAAAGTAAGCTATGTAGGCGTTGCTATGAGTTTATCATCCGCACTCCGACACTTCAGCTTCAACTTGACATTGGAAAGAACCTCGGTAAGTCATCATGACTCTGCTACAACCCGCTTCAAACATATCTCCAGTCCTTGTGCACCAGCTGGCAAATCAGCCCCATTATCATGTTGATCAAAATACAACCTCCACATCCCTCTTCCATCATCGACATCCAATTGCGCTTCCAGCTCCTCCTGCTGCTCATCATCGGGCGACCGTACAGCTAACCAACCCTCCCATCCTTCGAACATGACTCGTTGCTCGTCCTTGGTCCAGTCAAACGGTCCACAGACGTGGCCCTCGCTGTCTAGCCGGCTACCCCAGCGGATTTCATGCGTGTCAGCGTCAAGGAATACCCATCGTAGGGTCGGTGGGTTCTCTCCGGTCACGGTCACCATTCCTGATGAGTTATCAGGAGCAAAGGCTGGATGGGCGTGGAAGCCGCCGTTGAAGGGGACCATTGATGATTTAGGATGTTTGGTGATGTATAGCTGATTCGTTAGTCTCTCCCTTCTATAGGATATGGTCGGGTAATTTGTCGGGAACATACTTTACCATCTGACCCCACGTACACTTTAGCATTCTGAACTTGTTCCCGCTGCCGCTGGTTCCCTTGATCAAGACTGCAGGTCGCCACAAGATGACATCGTTGTTTCCGAGAAGAATCGCGGCGACTTTCCTCACGATCGCGAGCGCCGGAGGTTGCTTCGTTTAAACCAATCATAGTCGGTAGCATTGCCGACATCATAGCGATTCCAAGCACCATGGTCGGGGCGATGAGAAGAGACACATAGGCTTTGGCGTTGTGCAGTAGAGTACTTCGTTATACTTGCTGGTGGGCGTGCAGGGTATCGGACACGTCAGGCCCATTTGATAGGTAGATGATATTCTACTGTCAAAATAAAATTATTGATTATTTAGGGTAGCAGATATGACGAGGTTGCTATATCAGTGCTTGACCTTCCGCATGCGTGCACTCCATGAAGTAATAGAACACTACCTCCGCAATTTGTGCGCTATTTAAATAACTCACAATTTACTATAAAGGGTTTTTAATAACTATCGAGCTTTCAATTGCATCCGCCTCGAATAAACCCCGTATTATATACGAAGATGGCCGACCCCGTGTATTGTCCCCCTCCCCAAACAAATCCGTCCCCACAACGTACGAGCCGCTTAACCTAACTATCTTTCTCCAAATCCAGTCAACAAACCACCGATACCTTCCCCAAAGGGAACCGCAAGGGCAGCCGTTCCGACGAGGAATCCAACAAGGACAAGGATAAGGACAGTGGTAACGGCAACGGCGACAAGAAGCTAGTACCAACGAGCGGACTTGAGAAACCCGGCGAGACAAAGGAGGATAACGAGAAGGAAAGCCTAAAAATAAAGATCCATTTGAATCTGCATGCGAAGGTGAAGTTGGATTTGGATGCGCAGTTGTATGGTGACATTGTTATTGGGCTACTGTAGGAGGCACGCCAGATTTATGAGCAAAGCATATTTCATTGATCCTCTATAAATACGAGCCACAGATCATCAATACATGCTTAGCGTATTGCCCCAAGTACTCTATAGTATACGCAATCCTCCTGCGCATTCGCAGGCTCACACAAGAAGAGATCACAGAATCGGAGAGTAAACAGTGCTTCAATAATTTGATACTCTCCCTCGCTCAATGTTATAATCACTATCTGCGATTCGATTTGGGTAAGCCATCGCACATAATCATCGCTATCACCATCACCCTGATTCCTCCCATCCTGCTCAGCAGCCCTCCACTCTTCAAGCACAAGCACCAGTTTTGTACGGCTGAAACCAAAAACGACAGCTATCTTGATATCCCCCTTCGGCGCCGAAATCCACCGCCAAATTCCTCTCCCGCCTTGGAATATTTACATTAATCGGCCCATACAAATTATCTGCCCCTTCCATAAACCTCTTCCCACACACATAAAAATCTCAAGTCGTTCGCCCCCTCGTCATAGGCTCACTATAAAGCCCCAACCCCGTCTCACCCTGCCTCTAAACCATCTTCATTATCATGTTCTGCGTGAATATGGACTTTGCAAGCTCTCGTTTGATATCTGGTGGTTTCTTCGCATCACCCGCGCAGATTCATCGTAGAACATCCAGATTTGGGGCATGTCGTATAAGCGATATTTCTCATGAAATTCTTTTGACAAACCCAAGTGGGCAGTTTTCCATGAAGAGGTAGGGGCTATCATCGGGTTTCGTCGATGTTGTAGTAGACTTCATCAAAGAATAGTTGTGGTGGTCGGAGGGGAGGGTGAATTTGGGGGTGCCTCTGGGCAAACCATCTTTGATGTCTGGGAGGGGTGTTTTGTTTGAAGAAAGTTCATTTCTCAGGCCTTATGATGTGATCTAAGGGGGATGGTAGGATGGTGGTGAAGTAGTGCTGCTGTCTAAGTCATACTTTCACTATGACGTACAAAACTAGACTCTACGTTCGCTGTCCTAATTGATGCTCACAAATACCAAGTTAGACAATCCCTGATGAATAGTCATAAGAACTAAGGTACTCTGATATGCAGGGGTACACGATATAAGCATAGATTCCAACAAATAAAGATGCATAAACCGATAACGCAACGGTGATACAATATCTGAGAACAATGTAAATTGGGTCACATGCTGGCGGGACGTAGTCATGTTGATTGCAGATGTTCCTTAAAAATATAAGCTTATATACTGTTGGTTGATGGATGCGCCTATCGTACTTTTTTTTGCATCAGTGCGTGATACTAATTCGTAATGGCTGCATGACGTACTGAACAGGGTAGGATGCTGTACCATATAAGACACTTATTGTAGGTCAATGTACAGGGAACTAAATTAAATAAAGAAAATATATTGGTATAATGTCTTTTTGCTGACCGTGGGCTACGGATTACCAATGTAAGTAACGTAGTATTCGATGACACGGTTAGCGGGGCGCCAGAAACGGCTCCCATTGAACAGTCCGTCTGCCGTCCGCCACCGCCTGCCGTGGATGGTCATCCTCCTGCCCCTTGTGGTATGGCCCCTACCATTTTGGGGATAGCGGCCCCCTCACGCCGCTTTTACACTGCTCCCCTACCGCCTTCACCATCTGCCAACTGAACTATATAATCCCAGCCTGACCCCCTCAGTCTCTCCCCACATCAGCTCACCGTGCGTCATGGTGTCTGTACGAACGTTCTCGCGCAGATGGCAGGCTGCGCTTATACCAGCACTGCAAGTTCCCGCGAGAGGTACTGCTGACTTGAGTCTCCGGAATGACACACCAATAATCATGATACCCAGGACACCGAGAAGGGCACCAGCGCATATTAAAGGCATATATGAGATCGCTGGTGCGCTTTCCTTCTGTGCGTACAGTAGATTGCCGTCTGTATCGTAAGGAAAAGCTAGAACAAAATAGATTCCCTGCGAGACAAGCCAATGGAGTATTGTGAACAAGGCCCTTTTCTAACAATATGAACATCAAATGCGGGACGGACGGCATTGTGTCCGACATAGAGCTTTCTCAAGGTAGCCAATATCTTCACACAGACTTGGGGTCCTACGATTTCGCATCGTCTACCGGCACCGGTCTGCCCTTCATGCGCGGCGTCCGAACAGCAGTAGTGAGTATATTGGATCATGAATAGGTGACTATGAAAGACAGGAAATTCCTTTGACTCTGAATTCTATCGAGTAAACTCTCGAGTGCGGGGCCGTCCAAGAAAGAGTTACGGAACGAACAGTGGTCGAATTACTGTTGGACGTGGTTCTGGGCGGCTTACATGTTTTGAGTTGGATATGAAACATCCATAGTCTATGGTGGATTTGCCATGAGGGGTGCCGGTATGTCTTTGGCGTAAGGCTTCCTTTTTAAACTTCAAATCCCACACATATCTTGTATAATTCTATATTCCTGCCACCTCTTTTGTGTTCCTCGGCTTCAAGAAGGCGTACAACTCTGTCTCTATCTATCTATGCCCTTCTACTTGATACTCAACTTATGTAACGGCTCAGCCCAGCGCCTTCATCAGCAAACATCATCAATACGGCAAACAATGCCATGGAAGCAACCAAGGCAAACAAGCTGCTTAGTGAAACCACACACAACCATATAGGACTTCTTCATGTAAATAGATTTGCCTCTTCTCTTTTCTTCTCCAGATTCGATATTCTAGTCGAAGGCTACACTGGTTTAGATAGGAATATCATTTCATTAGTATCTACTGGTCCGAGCTCGTGACAACTCTTACCATAATTATAGTAAACTGTATCCTCACGAATTGATTTCTTTCAGTTGGTTATCCAGTATTTATTCTATAATGCTCCATTGGAATCAATGCATGACTGTTTATGCATGCCAGCATCACATTTAGAATCCAACAAACACCAGCTGCCCATTCTGGTTCTCAATATGCTCAGACAGGTTGATTCCCTGACGCCCTCTTTCCCCGTCACCGACCTCGGGCAGATCCCCCTCCAACCAAACACCATCCTCACGGAAACTCAAGTCGATGTTCTCAGCGCTTTCAGTGAATGAGTCACCTTCCCAGGTGAAGAAACCTAATAGATCAAAGACTTGATTAGTAGTTGTATTTCCATTAAGTCGCTGAAGCATACCGTCCGAGTTGCCAATATGCTCGTCAAGGATCAGCTCTGCAGGTTCATATTCATCATCACCAAGTCCAGCACCGGCGAGAAGGACAGTGTGGTCACCGCGGACTTCGATGCGGATGTCCAGGCAGGATTGTTCGAAAGACATGGCGTTTGCTTTTTTGAAAGTCGTCTGTAATGGGAGAAGGAATGAGGATAAAGGAATTGCTGGTTTGAGTGGGAGATTCAGCGGGGTGACATGGCTTAAATACCCCGCCAGCCCTGCCAAAACCAATTCAGCTGAGTTGATGCATGGAGGGGTAATGCAGCTCTTGGCATCCAGCTCAGCCTATATAATTGAGGGGTTAATGTTAGGGGCTGAGCCCGCAGCGCTAATAACTAGCTATCATACAAGAGGTTTCTGTTACAGATCCCTAATGCACTGATCTCACGTGATTATGCGGGGAGTCAAGGCAGAATCATTGGACCATAAACTATGGTAATAATGCAGGAAGGACAGGGATCAGAAATGGTAGTTAGCGAGCGCATCACGTGATTAACTACCATATACCATGGCTTGGCGTTGGTAGATGGTATACGACTACCATAATAAGTACCATCAGGATGGTAGTCTATATGGTATACAAGCGGAGGTTATATAAGGGCACTCCATTCATGCACTTAGTTTAGTTCTTCGCAATCAATCTAGTTAATCAAGCATTGGTTACCTTCTAGTTTCTGACTCGTCCGCACTTAACCAACAACCCAGCATACGTGCTCGGTTGGCCTTGTTCCTCTATTCGTTACCTTTACCGTTTCTACTTGTTGATTATCTTACGGAGCCTGGAGGGGGCGATATACCTTCGACGTGATACACAGAGGACCTGGATGGTCATTGAGCATACGAGTACTTGGAAGACACTTAGGGTAAGTGTCCTGTCTCGAAATACAACTAACTAGAACCCTAGGTACGATACGAGAGGAGCCAGGTTGTGACACATCCGTTCTTCTCTCCTTCAACGAAACCTCTTGTATGATAGCTAGTTATTAGCGCTGCGGGCTTAGCCCCTAACAGCGAGGCTGCAACATACCCAGCCTGGACCAGGCCAAGCATTAGCAATCCAAGCACATGCTATAGCCAAGAGACTACGTACCCGAGGTCATCAACCCACCATCCAGTGGGTTCCGGGACACGCAGGGATAGAAGGAAATGAGAAAGCCGACCAGGTAGCAAAGCAGGCAGCCAACAAACCCCCAGGAAGAGGCCCAAGAGAGATCTCCCTGGCATTCGCCTGTAGAGCCCGAACAGAAGCCATCACAACACAGAAGCAGAAGTGGCTCACCAAAGAGCTCAGCCAACAATCTCAACAAGGTCAACGAATATACAGGCCGCGGAAAAACTGGCAGCTCAACCCAACAGCTGCAGTTGCTCCCAAGCATCTAGCAAGCCGGTACTTTCAACTGAATTCAGGACATGCAGCCATTGGAGTATATCTACATCAAATCAAGGCCCAAGAGGATGCAACCTGCAGAGATTGTGGTTTATCAAGGGAAATAATACACCATCTTCTCTTTGAATGCCGAAAATGGCGACACCAGCGAAACAAGCTCTACAAGGATCTGGAGCTGGATGGGGTCGTGAGACCCGCTGGTGCAGAGGAACACCCACAGGGACGACTGTTAGGAGAGTCCAGAGCTACCAGGGCGCTGCTAAAATTCTGGCTGGTACTAGTGTGGCTCTACCCCGAGCACATTCTCAGCGAACGGCGGAAAGGGCCCGAAGAGATAATGAATGGGGACTGGAAGCACTGGAAGAGGAGATTAGAACAGGAGAAGGATAGCAGGGAGGGTAGCCTAAGCTGAATCCCCGGCTTAGGTCACACCTACCCTGCTCTGAAACACAAGGAGAGCATTCTGCTCGAAAGCCCTGCGCATACAGGTGGTTTGGGGCGAGGAAAAGGATCAGAAACATTATAGAAGGAGGCTAGTGCCTCAGGAGCTTATGGGGATAAAAGACTGTAGAATAGCTACCAGCCTCAAGTCCACGAATAAGGGTCTATCATAGCTCTAGGGCTCGGTATGGACAATAAACTTGATTAAATAATAATAATACAAGGCGGACCCGCACTTTGACATCAAACATCACAGCCGTTAACCACCTCTAGAATACGTCTGTCTATCTGATGAGATATATAAAGTGGCGGATTAACAATTTTTTCCAATTATGGATAAAAATTTCAAGGTAGAAATCTGCCAATAGTTTATATTCTAGCATAACGTATATAAGCAGAGTGAATATATAACAACTTCATGTCTCACTATCATCTCCATATCCTTTACTTGATATATTAGCAAGAAATGATGCCAACACTTGGTTTATCGCCTTAGAGCCAATGAAACCTTTCCATCCAACCGACCAAGATGCCTCGAACAGCCAAGGCATCAAGATGAGGGGCTCAGCAGCAGCATCAGTAAACGCAGCATCGAAGATCATACCGAAGAATATCACCGGCGAGTTCTGTCCAGAGTTCCATAAGTTCTCGTGAGCCCGAAGAACAAGGCTACTTCGAAACGCGACATTTCGAGGAGCAAGTCCACTGGATGATGTACGAACTCATTTTTCAGATCGTGAATCCACCTTCTTTCGACTCTTTCTACAACAATGGTTTCATGAAAGATATGCTCCTCCTAGCTGTTTGCCTTGAGAGGAACAGTGAGCAAAAGCCGAGGGCTGTGAGGAAGTTGTTCCAGAAAGGGTTACTATCGCATCATCTGACGAGGCATCGTGGAGAATTCTTACCTTATTTTGGACTTGGCTTGGTCTTCGCATTCCATTATCTGCCCTGTCTCTTCTGGCGATATCTTGCCATCTGTCTCCCGGCTCAAGCAGTCGTGTTTTTATGTTCTGTGTCGTTGAGATTGAACCATCATGTATTTTTACGCGATACCAGTACCCAGAGAACCAGAATAACTCCTGTTCATATCCTGCTCTATTCTGTAGACGTGAACACAAAATTGTTCAGGTGAAATATGCAAGGAGTCAATCCCTACATAGTACGTGTCACTATATAAATACCCCGTTGTCTCTACAAAGCCTATCCCAGCGAGCAACGTACCGAGAGTGCGTCAGCCACAAAACAAACAACGCAATGGCTGTCACAATCAACGTCACCGGTAGCTCTACAATCTACCACTACCCAGACCAAGCCGTGCTCTCCGTGCACATCCAATCGGAAGGCCCCTCGCGCAACCTGGTGTCCAGCTATGTAACCACCCGATCGAACCTCCTACAGCGTCACCTGCGGGACTTCGTGCCCCGCAATTCCTCCGGACAAATATCCATGGAAGCGCCCGTGTCGAACATCGCGATCGGATCCGAACGCAGTTGGTCGACTGTCCCGCGCGACCGCAACGGCCACCCGCTGGACCGGGTCTACCACGCCTCCACAGATGTGGAAATTACATTCCGCAATTTCACAAAATTGGGAAAGATTGCAAAGTGCCTGATCACGGAGGAGAATGTTGAGGTCTCAAAAATTGTCTGGCAGTTGACCAAGGATACAAGGGAGGTGTTGGGGGTGGAATCGCGGAAACAAGCAATGAAGGATGCGATTCGTCGGGCGCAGGACTATGCCGCTGTCATTGGAAAGGAAGTCGAACCGATGCTGATCACGGACCGCGAGTCAACATCGACTATTGGGACGGCCAAATGCATGGCTGTGAATGCGAATATAGGGGCTGGAGAAGAAGATTCGCTGGATTTGGCACCACCGGATATCGAATTCCACTGTTCGGTTGAGGTACAGTTTCGAAGTGCTGGGAGTGGGAAATGTGATTGATTGTTGTTGATTGTGATACTTTGCACTCAAAAAGCAATAAGGGATGTACTTGTACTTGTGATACTAGATTCGTCAGCTCTTGTTCCATCCAATTACCAGTTCTGCTGAACCCTGAAATGTTCCTTACAGAGCGGATGCACCGCAAATCCGTCAATCGGTAGATCACAGTATAAAGACGCAGGAGCTATCAGGGCGTATCAGAGCTATGCACCCTCCTTACTGCTCTCCCACGTTGATCTGCGCTGGACGCGTTATCCGTGGGTCTGGCATTCGATCCGGGAGTCTATTTTCCAGGTTGGATATGAATAGGAGCAGTGAATTGGTCCCCCGTAGTTGCGCCGGGAGACCATCGGGAGAAATTTTCACTGTGGATCGAAAGTGTCCGTTCAAAGCACGCTATCAAAGTCGGTCTGGATGATTAAGAAAAACCTTTTCCCAGGTCCATAAAACTTCTTCTTTCTCTGGTCTCGCTGGGTCTGTTTCCTTCTTTTGATCCAACAACTATTTCCTAAATAGATATACGGCCATGAAAAATCCCGTCAAAATCTCCGCGCGTCCCGTCGGCGACGCTTCCACCATCTCCGAACCGGCGCCGGCCCGATTAAGTCGTCCCGGATCGGCTTCGGGTCAATCCTCCTCCACCCAAGTTGCAACGCCGCCTCTTGCCCCGAATAGCCCTATTGAGTTGGTCAATGGTCCCGCAACGGCGACCGAATATCCCGATGTGGGCAAGCTTGCCTCGTGGAGAGGCGCGATAATCATGCTGGTGACTGGTGGTTCTCAGTTCTTGGACAATGTGTTTATGACAAGTGCCAATATCGCGCTACCATCGATCCAGAAGGAGTTTAATGTCAACAGTGGGAACCTACAGTGGATGATCTCCGCTTACACCCTGACATTTGGTGGGTTCTTGTTGTTGGCGGGGGTTTTGTCGGATCGGTAGGCCCACTCACCCTAATAAGTTATGGTGGATGTGCACTAACAGGTTCTAGATATGGTCGGAAAAACCTTCTCTGTATTGGATTGGTGTGGCTTTCTGCTTGGTCCATTGCCATTGGTTTCGGAAATTCTTTCATTGAAGTCGCTGTGTTTCGCGGTCTCCAAGGCATGGGCGCTGCCATGACCGTCCCGTCTGCCATTGGAATCATTAGTTCCTACTTCGTCGGTCCTGACCGCACACGCGCACTGTCTATCTACGGTGCTTCCGGTGCCGTCGGCTTCTGTGCAGGCCTGATCTTCGGTGGCTTCCTTTCCTCGTCTCTTGGCTGGAAATACATTTTTCGTCTCGTGGTTATCCTCACCGCGTTCCTAGCCGTGACTGGATGGTTTGTGCTCCCCAAGGACCGTTTGGAGGGTACTACCCGCGCTAGGTTGGATTATGCCGGTGCGGCGCTGTCAACGGCTGGCTTGATTCTGTTGTCATTTGTGCTTTCTAGCGGTGGTGTGTATGGTTGGAGCAAACCGTTCATCATTGCCTTGTTGATTGTCTCGTGCTGTATCCTGGTGGTTTTCACGCTGTTGGAGAAGTACGTGAAGAACCCGATCATGCCGCTTTCTCTGTGGAAAATTAGCAACTTCGCAGGATTGTGGGTTGCTGGTTTCAGTAAGTTCCTCCACTTTCAATTCCGTGACTTGTTATATCGGCCATGCTAACTATATCAGCTGTCTATGGAAGCTACCAAACCGTTATCTACTACCTCGTCCTCATGGCACAAGAAGTCGACGAACTGTCTGCTGGCGAGACGGCGATTCGTTTTCTGCCCATGGGAGCCGGTGGCTTTATTGTATCTTTGATCTGTGGACGGGCCATCGAGGTGGTCAACGGCAAATTCTTGTTGCTTATGGGAATGGCTTTGTCGGTGCTGGCGCCGGTTCCGAGCTGCCTGACTGCTCAAGATTTGAACTTGTATGACTTGTCTTCTTGTTATTAGTGATACATGACGTACTGACAACTATAGCTGGACAAACGTCCTCCCCACATCCCTCATTAGTGTCACCGGCGTGTCCATCGCGTACATCACAGCCAGCACTACCATGCTGGCTAGTGTGCCAGTGAACGTCAAGAGTCTTTGCGGCGGAATGGTATGCCACTTTCCCAATTTCTACTGAAAAAGGCATACTAACGAATCATAGATCAACACAGCGTTCCAAATCGGCAGTGGCGTCGCCCTCGCCGTCTCCTCGGCCGTGACCCAGTCTGTCGACGTTAACAAGGGCCATTCCCTGGCGCAGCAGTATCAAACAGGACTGTGGTGCTCTGCTGGTTTGGCCGGTGTCGGTCTTTTGTTCTCGATTGTTGGTATCAGACGTAAGGGGTTAGATCTTTCGGAGTCGAACAAAGAGCCTGTTGCGTTGCCGCATTGATTTGGGTATTCTGTTATGATACAACTTGGAATTTTGTGATCATGGTTGAACTTCTCTGTGCACATTTTAGATCGTTATCATAGATTATGCAAAATAGATGTATCCTCAATACAGCATACCAAAACGGTAATCAAATCCACGTGATTCTCTGACCCAAAACAGTCTAGCCCCTCGGTAAAATACACTAGCACACTAGCGTGCACGGGCCCATTGCCTCAGCATATAAGTACCTCGCCCCCCCCGCCGCTCTTTCAACCTTTTCTCTTTTCTTTTCCAGCTCTCTTTGCCTTTTGGCTTAGATCAAGTGTAGTATCTGTTCTTTTCAGTTTAATCTCTGAAAGTGTTCTAAGGAACACAACATTGATTAATCTTATTTTTGGTCTCCGTGGCTGGACCTCTGTGCTTGCGCATGTCTGGCTACACAGTGTCATCGGGCTTACACTACCCCCGATAGACGCGAACCCCCTTTTCATCAATACGGTCGGCTTGTCTGACTGGTTGGAGAAGAGGTTCTTCGCTTAGTGTGAAGACTTGCTTTTTAGTCGACTTATATATAGTAGTTCCCGAAATCAGCTTGACCCCTCAATACTCTTGGATTGTTTTCCGAACTCTACCATGAAACACTAATCCATATGTGGTGCACCCTTTGCCATCCCTGCTGTAACGTGTAATGTAACGAGATTTACTGTGTATCATTAATACGAGAAATACAGGATGTCTAGAAGATTCTGTGCAAACAGTGTCAAAAAAACCTCGGGTGGGAGACCTCATTAGGGACTAAGCCCGCAGTGCTAATAGGTAGCTATAACACAAGAGATTTCGTTGATGAATGAAAGGATGGATGTCTGATCAGGCAGCTATGCAGTATATATGTGTGTCGTGCGGGGTATGTTTCCTATCAGTCATCCACTGTTGGCAAATCTGTATCAGCTTGGCACAAAATTCAGGAATCAGGGCCCGGTAACTCACCCAGGATCTGATTTAGACAAACATTGGTATATTTAAACTCATTCTTTCAAACCAGTTTTTCACATTCCTATGTACAGTAAAAGCTTCAAAAATTCCAATAAAGAGTATAATCCAGCGTAGAGTGCATTCAATAGTATACTGTCACAACCTGGCTTCGCTTGTATCGTACCTAGGGTTCTAGTTAGTTGTATTTCGAGACAGGACACTTACCCTAAGTGCCTTCCAAGCATTCATATGCTCAATGACCATCCAGGTCCTCTGTATATCACGTCGAAGGTATCTCGCCCCCTCCAGGCTCCGTAAGGTAATCAACAGGTAGAATCGGTAAAGGTAACGAATAGAGAAACAAGGCCAACCGAGCACGTATGCTGGATTGTTGGTTAAGTGCGGACGAGTCAGAAACTAGAAGGTAACCAATGCTTGATTAACTAGATTGATTGCGAAGAGCTAAACTAGGTGCATGAATGAGTGTCCTTATATATCTTGTCCAGTATACTCCCCCATCTACTCCTTAGGGAGCATATCCTGAGTCGATCCAATCAGGTTGTGCCTGGGTGTATACTCTTTCAGCTACTCCTCTCTAGGGTATATCAGGAGTAGGTGATCACGTTGTTACAGACCTAGCTGATGAGATCTGATAGGTCGGATCAAAGGGATAACGCTAGTCCGACTAGCGAACCTCCGATATATGGCCAGCGTTCGCCACATATAGATAGTCAAGCACTCATCAAGCACTCAAGCACCCGTGTACTCTAGGCTACATTAGATAGAGTATATCAATCGTTCGTTTTAATTGGGTCTTCTACATATAGGCCTCGTGCAGTCGGATGATCGACTCCTCCGGTTTCCCCTGAACCTCCGACGGAACCCATTTCACTAGCCACATCAGTCTCACGTGACTATGCGGGGAGACAAG